TTATGTATTGGGGACAATGGGGTAATATGACTTTCTCATCACTATTATTATAGTTCATATGAGTTATTGTTCCCTAACGTCTTTCCTCACTTCACACTTTTTAAGTTAATATTTCATTACACTGCAGAGCGTCTATTTTATGTTTTTAATTTACATATTTCTTATGGTATTTAATTCACTTTGAGGAATGTCTATTTTATTTACATTTAACTATTTACATGGGTTTAAGGTCTCTCTACACACACTTTTCATTTAATTTTCTTCAATTTAAAATTTTCTTTAAATATACTATTATTCTTCATACACATACTTTTGATTATTAAACTTGTATCTTCGGTTGAGGAGGAATATATCTTTTTAGTGCTGAAATGTGGTAAGGCCCAAATGTCTTCTTGTCATCTAGAGAGTGCTTACATTATAAGTTGAATGTCCTAAAATTGTACTTATCTTGAATGCGCCTTCGTAGACTTCCTGCATTTTTTCTCATATTTAAGTTAGGATTGTAATTAATATAATGTAGATTGTTGTTTGTTTTCATATCATTATTAATACTATCATAATTATCTTCATAATATTTATCATCATTATTTTCGTTCTCAATGCTTCGCCTTGGGCTTTGCTCAAATACAAAATTGCAATTTATACCTTCAACAGATACCTCTCCGAACTTCAAAGTAATATTATTATTATTAATCTTCAATTTAATAACTTTTTCTTTAAAATTCATCTCAAACTGCCATATATTTAATACATCATTCCCAATTATTAAATTCCTAACTAAGTTTGGTATGAGTAAAACTTGTAGTTGAGTTTCTTCATTTTCTATCATTACAGGTAACATTATGATTTTAGTTATGCGCTTAGATCGATCTCCCGTAGCGGTTTTAATATGTGTATTTGTAATTGGCAATTCTTCAAAATGACCTATGTGGTGTTTATTTTCTAGGAACCATTTTTCCGATATACATGTTACATTAGAGCCGGTGTCAATTAGGGCATTTATCTTCAATTTATTAATTGTAACACTAATTTCTGGAAAATCAATTTGTTTAATCTCGTAGGAATCATTGCTTGATTCATCTTCTTCACTTAATAAAAATTCTCTGTCACAACAGATTACATTGTTTATAATGGTTTAAATACCTGCATTCAGTAATCCATTATGCTGCTTGTGGCAACTATAGTTTCGGTTCACAGGGAACCATCTTCAGGCCGTACAAGGCGTCGCTATTCACTTCCAACGACGCCTTGTACGGCCTGAAGATGGTTCCCTGTGAACCGAAACTATAGTTGCCACAAGCAGCATAATGGATTACTGAATGCAGGTATTTAAACCATTATAAATATTCAAATGTAATCCGGAGGCTAACAACTCTTAAAAATGAGATTACATTGGTTTCATAACAATTATTTAATTCATTATATACATTTGGCCTTATTTTTCCGAAGGGATTTTCTTGCACTGAAGAGACAATTGAGGGAATATTATTTTGAGGGGAAGTGGTGTGTAGGCCATTTTTGCTCTCAGTGCTCTTTAGTTTAAATCCGACTTATGTGGTTGGTCGGTTTTATCGATTATGGTGGTACAGACTTGTCGTTGTTCTGGGGTCATATAATTGGGTTCAGTTCGGTTTCCGTTCCTAGTGGGATAATTATTTGAATTTTGTGGAAATCTGCCTTGTGGGTAAGGGAACCAGTTTTGTTGGTTTGGCCGGTTATTGTATTGTTGGTTGTGGTTATATGGTCGATTGTTTTGTTGATACTTCATGTCATATCTTGGTTGGTATGCATTTTGGTTGATGTTATTAGTGTGGTCAGGATATCTGTTTTGTGTTTGTGTGTTATAGTTGGGCCTTGGTTCATTTCGGTTTGTCGCTGGTGTATTGTGTGATGGGGAATGGTTTTGTTTATTCCGGCGATTTCCGTCTTTTATATCTTCACGCTGGAGGATAGATTCAAATGCAAATATTGTGTTGGCATTCTGTACTATGCGGGCATCTTGTATTAGTTCACTGAAGTGATCGCTTAGCAATGTAATAATTTCTTCATCAGTCAAAGGTGGGGACATTGATTTCAACGTTATGACTCGCTCTATAAAGTATTCTGAGCGGGTCAGTTTTCCTCCAGGACGGTACCTCTCGTTTTCCAATCTATGTCGAATTCCACGCTGTACTGATTGGCTCCAAAATTTCATGAGAAACATGCTCTCAAACTCATCCCATGTATTAATATTACTTTTGATAAGAGAAAACCATCGTGAAGCGCTCCCTTCTAAACTCATCTCTATCGTATCGATTAGGAATTCTTTAGGGTCGGTTGTGGGACTCTGGCGAACCAAATTACGACAGTAATATTTTTGTAGTTTGTTTAAGAACTCTTTGGGGTTGTGTGCTCGTCCAGTGAATTTAGGTACGTTTGAGTCAACATTAGTTCCGCTACCACAAGATACATAAATGTTAGGGGTGAATATACTCTGCTTAACAGTGGCTTCGTTTTGTAGAGATTCAATCTTGTTATGATGTTCACTTAGTGTTGTTTTCATGTTTTCTATTAATTCAATGTTTTGTTCAACTCTGTCTTGATTTGCTTTAATCTGTGGTTCTAGTTGTTCTTGAATCCGTTGAGTGTTTTCACTTACTATATGTCTTAGTTGTTTATGTTGTGTTTCAAATGTTTCCTGAATTTGACTTTTAATATTATTTAAATTAGTATTCACAGTCTGACTAATCTCTTCCCTAATAATTTGATTTTGGGTATGGACTATGTCATTTACTTCAGTTTTATGGGCATTTAGATCTGCTATCAGGTCCATTTTTAGATTATAGGAGCTTTCGGCAATTTGGGTAGTTAATTTAGATTCAATTGATTTCATTTCCTCTGATTGTTTTTGTTGATTTTCCTGCACATAGTTTAATTCCAATTGTAGTTTATTTTGTGATTCAGTGATAGATTCAATTTTAGTGTCAAGGATTTTATAGTGGGTCTTTATTTCATCTTTAATGCTGGTTTCCAACGATATCATTTTATTATCCAAAGATTGGAATAGCGTTTGAATTTGGGCCATAAAGTCGGGTTTCGGGTCGGGTAGTTGAGTGACAGTGCTTGCTGTAGCATGTTATTGAGAAGCTCGCTGTGATTGATCGTCATGAAACTGTGTTGTGATTGGTTGTTGTGTTTCTGTTGCCGTCGTAAGGAACGTAGGCCTATCAGCTGTCATATTCATTCCCATCATTCCTTGTTCATCGTTCACCGGGACATTGGTTTGGTCAGTAAAATTTGTTTGCTTTAGGGCTACAATTTCTGATGACTCGGAACCGTGGAATGACCGCTCTTCGAAGGATTTGTCTTCTGCTTCTGAGTGTGTTTGTTGTGATAATGTTTCAGGGCTTTTCGCTGTTAGTGTGCATGATTCATCTTCACTAATATCGCTGGTGTTAGTGTTTGTGTGAATTTCAATGTTGTTGTCGTCTTGATTATTATTGTCACTATCCCCGCTATTTTCGACTAGTTTCCTAGAGGGTTTAGGGTTTGGGCGTAAATTGTATTGACTCGTCATCTTGGATATCTTTAACTAACAGGTGACTGATAGGCTAATTATGAAAGGGGAAACGGGGGAATCTTAACTTAGATACCTTTATAATAGTACAACACTCTTATAGGCTATTCTTAGTTTAACCTAAAAATCGCTATTTCAAACACATAAGCTAGGCCTACTTGTATTATTAGCAAGGTTTGGTCAATAAGGGAGTCCCACTCGTTGCGGCGCCCAATTGCAACCTCAGGGTTTTTAGGTTCGTGTTTGAAACTCTCTTTAATTACCAATTTCCTTGCTAATATTTTAATTTGAAACTTTTTTATGATAATAAAGTTAGCCAAAGTCTTTACTTGAATCAAGATTTTAGGCTATATAAATTTTAACAGCTATGAGGCTACTCGATCCACCTCAGAATTAGGCTAATGTTCTCAAATTGTCCAACACCTAAATAGAATTGTTTGTAATAATAAGATGGAGATTACCAAGTTTCCACATTTCTTCTTGTTTAAACTATTTTAAATAATTAGAGTATTGGTTTAGCTTTTCACTTTTTACTAGAAAATATTATAATATAAAAATCATACAAACTAGTTTTTAAACTTTCACCAGGCTAGTTTATGGTAGAAGAAGAAAATCCAGTTGTTACCTAACACATGTTTTTCAGCAACAATGTATTCAGGTCTTCTATATCTTCTAGTTCACTGTTCACTTTTTAGTCACTCAGGCCAATTAATAGTATATGAAATTTAATTTGGGTAAATTACTTTTTGAGATTTGGTTTCGATATATACAATTATTTTTACTTTAGCTTGTGTTTGAAATAGATTTTAAACATAGTATATTTTAAATAGGCTTTTAGGCTTAATTGACTGGTAATAGGCTATTTATATATTATTTAATTATACAAAATTTTATGAACTGTTGCAGGACTCTTGACGATGACTCAAGGTAGAGACAATAATCTCAAATATGCTCATGTTGACATGTGGCCCATCCCCCACTCCCAACACCCTTACTCGAATCACTCCTTTCACCTACGGCAGTCATAGCTCAGCTGTGAGCTTAGTTTGATGAGTGATTACGAGTTATTTGTACGTGAATTGTGTCCAGAGTCCAACATCTCCAAAAAGTTAACGGGAGCTCAGCGGAGAAAATTAAATAAATAATATTTTCTCACTATAATTGTATGGATTTGATAGTCATCAATTAAAAAAGATTTTCATCAAAAATTTAAGTAATTTAATCCCCGATTCTTGGCTCTAGGATTTTTGTAAGGTAATTCAATCCATTTAGGTGTCTGTAGTTGAGCTTTGAAACACAGATAGCGATGCAACCCGCCACGCAACTTTGTATAAGAGCATCACTAATTGTGTGTATGGGGGGGGCGTCTGACAACATCCTGCCCCGGGCGCCAATAAACCACACGACGACCCTGCTATTTAGAACTAGAGGAAAAAACTGAATATCTCAAATAAATATAATATTCTTTATGACAAATTTACATTGACGTCCATGCGGGAGGAATGTGTCATAAGTGGAATCGGTTTACGGTATGGCCTGTCTCTGCTGCCAAAGCGAAGCTGTCCAGATTCCTTCTTACCACCTAACCCTCCTCCTATAACATCGTAAACATTCTGTATACAATTAACATTGAACAGGCATTGCTGACAAATTAATACAGCAAAAAAGTAGTATTTTATTTAACAATAATTGAAATGAAATGTACAAGAGCCACTTGCAAAGTAAGCTCAGGACAGTTAGAGAAATACCCCCGTTTCATCAAACCTAGATCCATTTGTATAACTTGATTTAGACTAAAATATTTCCTTAAAATTGTCAGATTTATTCCATATCAAAATTACAAAAGATTTAACATGTACTACACTTTAATAAAACAGGGAAAGAAAGATTTTTTTGTAAAACGTAATAGTAGGGTATGAAATAAAAGAATTGGCTAAATGGCAAATTTGATAAAAATGTATCAGGAACAAGCAAACTACAACAGTTTACCCCATGAGGGAATTTTAAATGTACAGTTTTTTTTTTTGAATTTTCTCTGTAACCTTTAATCCTACAACATTTTTATACACCGTTCACAAAATTAGGTGGAGTTTTAGGGGAAGAAATCTATCCCCTGCACTAGTTCTAGCAAATATACAAAATTTTGAGATCTAAAACTTAACATACCAAGTCGCCTGGGTACCCAGCAGGGCAGGAGGTGTTCACACTCAAAGTCCACCACCAACATGGCATCGTCTAGCCTCATTTTGTGGCCTCGTCGGTACGCAGCCATCGCTCCGCCTCGCTCCTCGTATTCCACAAATGCATATCTCTTTGACTCTCCAGTGACCAAGCACCTAATTAGCTTACAACTTTTCACCTTCCCAAACTCTGAAAACACCTGAAAATAATCCCATAGATTATTTATACACCCATTATCTTGTATCATTTAGTACCTTAAATACATTAGTATTTAAGTAACTTGTTTCTGATGTTAACCATTTTGATATAGTCATATTTTTATTTACCTTTGACAATTTGTTTCAAAATCAATTTTTATCATCTTGCTTTGTTAGTATTGTTTCTATGTACTCGTTCTATTTTGACTTGTATTTTGCTCATATTTTTTGCATTGTGTTTCACCATGCCATTAGTAGACTAGATTTTAGATTAGAATCAGGCCAGCTTGTCTTAACTTATTTGATAAAATTATCTTTGTTACTATTTCATGTGAAATATTTAATTACATTTTAATATTATGTAGCAAATGACGAACCCTATTGCACTGTAAAATGTTTAAAGGGTAATAAAGATTCTTATTCTTATCAAAAGTTCTGGAAAATTTCCGACACGCTGAAGTAAACATCCTGATTAAAAAGGCTTTGGTGTGTGCCAACATCCCAGCCCAACTGGAACCCACAGGTCTTAACCGGAACGATGGGAAGCGGCCAGATGGAGCCACAATAATCCCCTGGAGCAAGGGCCAATGTCTAGTCTGGGATTTCACTTGCTCTGATACCAAGGGCGGGTCCAGGGCAAATTTTCGGAGGGGGCCATTCTATCGAGTGTGTGGGGTTATTCTAGGCCAGCTTGGCCACAACCGGGGGGTATGGAATACCCCCCATTGTGGGAGGGGGGTCCTCCCCCGGTAATTTTGGAAAGTTATACTTACAAAGTCAACATTTTAAGCACTCTGACGAAGAAAAAGTTTAATGTCTTGTAATCTGAAAGGGGGAGTTTAAATGCGAAACTTCCTTAAACCATTGATAAACCTTTTTCTGTTCTTACCGGCCCTGTAATTTCACCTATCTATTTTTAAATGTTTTGTTTCATAATGTCGACGTGCATTGTATTCCTTTTAACAATGATTGTTTCAGAAAATAAAAAAGTTCCTCGCTTACTACATTTTTGAAGTTTTTAGTGCTGTTAAAAATCGACCATCAATCTTAATTTGCCTAAATAAACTATAAAAAATATGTTAAGGTTCAAACTAACTACACAGTAATAAGTTCTGTCTAAAAATATATAAATTTGAAATCTTTATGTAAAAAAAAAGTGTAGCAAAGGTATGCTTGTGTAAAAGAGAGAGGTCCATACGGCCCGCCGGTGGCGCCGGCCTCAGTATCCTACCATTTTGAATGGTGGGCACGGCCCGTTTTTCCATCACACAGCGCGCCAGTAACCAAGGGAGTATTAGATTAAGCATACTCCGTATTAAGTTATAATATGATGATATATATTTCCCAGCCAGGCGGGTGAGCGTACGACACTGCGACGTTGATGATGTATACACTCGAACGCACATGTCTACGAGAGTGAATACTCTGTAGAAACGGCAGTGTGGTAGTCAGGTAGACATCGGCAACATCGCACTCGTAGTACTGTAATGGCGGTTGCTCAATCATGAGTCTAGGGCCAGGCGCACACAGGCGATTTTGAGTCGCGCAACAGTTGCCCGACTAAAATGTTCAACATTGTTTTAAATTGGAGTGCGCACACCAAGGAAACAGTCTAGGGACAGTCGCGCAACTGTTGCAACCGACGTTCCCGGACCCAATTTGCCAGCGACCGCTCAGTCTCACCCCAGGTCTTCAACTACTCGTGGCCTAACCTAACTTAGAAAACAGCTAAGCAAAGCTTAAGCCTTAAAGGCTTCCATTACTTACCATTATAATTTTGTCATGTGCTTGTGCTTAAGTGGAGGGATGCACATAGGTTGAATCTTGTAAAACAACTGTGTTAGGTACTAATAAAAAAAACTGTAACAAAACAAATACTCAACTGACTACTGAGCCACATTTTTTTTTTTTTTTTTATAGTGGGTAGTAGGATGTACTGTATCGGTACTGTATGACTGACGCACTGACGTGAGGATGGCATAGGATGGTGGGAAACGGGGATGTGTGCGGCAATTTTTAAGTCAATTTTTCAAATTATAAACGCTTGAAAAAATAAAAACCTGATTCTCGGGGGGGCCATGGCCCCTATGGCCCCCTCTCTGGAACCGCCACTGTCTGATACATATGCAGTAAGTTATATCAAACATAAAAGCAAACCAGAGCAGCAGCTGAAATGCCCACCCAGAGAAAACATACTAAATACACAGATTGAGATATTATATCAAGAGGATTCCAGTTAATTGTCCTGGGTGTGGAAACTATTGGGCCATGGTGCAAAGAAGGCAAGAACTGGATAAATGAAATAGGCCGCAAGCTGATTGAAAGAACAGGTGACTTTAAAGCAAGGCGCTTCCTAGTCCAACGGATTGCCATGGCCATTCAAAAAGGAAATGTGGCCAGCATCATTGGATCCTTACCCGCAGGCGACGACCTTTCATCAATATCTTATTTGCAAAAGTTTGTATACTATATTATTAATTTACTAGTGTCCCTGTTGCTCGAATTCGAGCAATTGCTAAGTATTACAGGTGTTATTTTAAAACGAATAACAGTCATAATTTCTGATGACTGAAAACGATTTGACTCAAATATTATGGAAATACTCAAGATGTACATAACAGATTATATCATTTTATCTAGGCTCTCTCGCTTTTTTCCATTGTAATATTTACGCCAACCCAAATTCAAATAGTAAATATTTCATTTCAACAAAGTCAGTAAATGTTTGTAGCAAACTTATTGACTGTTTACAATTAACATATGTTCTTCTTCTCACTTTTAATTTCTGACAACAGCTGGAGTTTCATAACAATTTTTTGTTTCCCACGTTAATCTTATGGAGAAATACAAAACTTTAAAGGGCCCCAGGGCCTCACTCTCTAATTATTTCCATGAAAAGAAAGTTTCCTGCACAACTTTACGTTACGCTCTTTCCAATGACACCAAAAACATGTCAATCGGTTCAGTAGTTTCGGAGGAGTAATTGCCACAAAAAACCTGCTTGCGTATTAAATAAGTATAGATATTAAAAAGTTATAAGATTAAAAACAAAACATGCAAACAAAATTCGCCGATAGATTGTTAATCCATGCAAAATTATTGTTTGAAATGTGTTTATTAGTTTAATTGGAGCGACCCAGGATGGTTGGAAATGGTAAAAAGGATGGATAAAAGAAGAAAGCAATATTGAGTAATTGAATGGAAAAGTTTTAGAAGACAGTGTTAGAAATGGTTGGACATAAAAGAGAATTTAATGATGAAAGGAAAATATCCATTGTACAGTAAGTGGAAAAAGAGGAGCTTCAAACCTGGGAGTCAGGACTTTCAAAACAATTATATGAGTCTTAAGCTTGTACAAAAATTGCAGCACCTTGAACAACTTTCAAAATCTCAAATCCTGCATGTTTACTCAAGAACTGCTTTTTATGTCCCTTGTTCTAGAAGGGACTTGAAACCTTAGATATTCTACTGTTACATACCACGTATAAGGCCTGCACGCACCGGAGCGGTGGCGATATTGGAACGTTCTTTTATCTACCCAATCCAACATCACTGCAGCAGTGGTATCGCTGGGGCGTTCACACCGGAGAGATTCCGCACCGCAGCGGTGACGGCAAAATACAGTAATTGTTTGTCCTCATTTATGAGAGTGCAGTCAACAAGTGTGGTGTGTCGTTAGTAATAAATATGTTTATACCAGAAGACGAGGAAGAAATGTTGCTGTTGTTTGCTGTAGCTGAAGACAACAATTGCAAAAATAGGCAGTGGGTATGAAATCAACAAAAGGTGATTTGAGCATGGCGAATAGTGAATACCATACATTGATGCCTAAACTTAGAAAAGAGAAGAAACACAAATGCCAGGCTCGTCGCTGTTGCCACTAGGCGGTGAAATGGAACATGCTGCATGGAACATGCTGCATGGAACATGCGGTAGTACGGGCGGTATACCGCTACCGCTTGCACCGGTCCAGTCTGGCATTTACTTCCATTGTACTAAATCACCGCGCGAATATTGCACTACAAACGCTCTGCCGTACCACTCCGGTGTGTGCACCCCTATAGAGTAGTGAATTAATGGAAAAGGTCTGGTATATCTACTGTGGTTAAATCAATAGTCAAAGGTAAAACACTTTTATCTTATGAACGCTATAGAGACAACCTTTAACAGTTTCTGCTCTGTAGTTTTTCTGTTGAGTCTTGCTACAAATACAGTGTTCTGTGGGTTGTTAGTGGTAGGCGGAGGATGATAATTGGAGGCCAACGCTCTAGACACAGCCCTGTCATGTGCGACTACATCTGTACCATCAATACTCCCAGCCTTTAGTGGGTCGTAGATCAAGGCTTGCGAGGAGAAGAACTTACTCAGAATCTTCTTATCTTGCTCCTGGAAATTGTTTTTGGATTAGAACACAAAAATGCTTGATTTGAAAAATATCTCTGTGCACCTTCCTATTAGCAACAACTGACTGATCTTTTTTATAATAAATCCTATCAATTGACTATAAATTTCAAAATGTTAAATCCTGCATTTGAGGCTATTGTACTAAAATAACATTAAAATTAATCTTTACGATTAAAATTCTAAGATGGCAGAGGTACTGCAAACTCTTAAACTATGGTGCAGCTAACAATGATAACGAACAGCACTGCCTCTCACTGGCTCTTAGTACATGTAGACTTAGTAACATGTAGTCTAAACAATTATTATATGTTAGTCCCTAACGTCCAGTGCTCGAATTTGTAGGGGAACGCAGTGGAATAGAGTTCCGATACCTCTCTTTCAGAAAGATAAAAATATTGACATAAATAGGTACATACATAGGTACAAATCACATTAAATAGCAGTTCCGGCACCTATTTTTTTACAAATCGAGCACTTCTAACGTCTTCTCTTACCTTTATGTCTACACCTTGTTGAAAATCATCTCCATAAAGGCTATCATTATGTTCTACGTCATGATGGTGTTCTTTTGCCATTGTGCCAATACCTGTAATAGGAATTTTTAATAAAATTCAGTTTAATAACATTTAAATTAACTTACCATACCTTAATAGCTCCTCCTCTGTTTTAACCCAGTTTAGACTGCACAATCTGTGTCATTATTATTGTAAAAACCTCTATATGGTAATTTAAAACATACAAACTTCCGTTTATTATTATCATTCTAATAGTTGTTAACAATTTTGGCAATGTAGTTCAGGCTGCTGATGCTTGAGTCGCAGTAGTCGGTAGTGCACCTCTGACCTAATGAATAATTTTGTATTAAAATGCATAATAAAACAACAAAACTATGACCAAACAAATTAATTTCATCAACAAATATGACATTTTACAACCTACAATGAAAGCAATATTAAAAACCAAACTGCCTTACCGACATGCCCGAGGTGGAGTAATTCGGGCTGCTGACGCTACACTGCAACAGCGCTGTTCAGGTAACGGTAGCTTCCATTAAGTGTTTACTCTAGTACGTGTATACTGACGACTACAATAAGGATAAAATAAATATTGTTCAGTATCAACAAACAATTTATACTATATTATATAATATATTATTATATAATATTTTAAACATCTTTGCCACCAAGACTGATATTCGAATATATAATAGGTTACGTGCCTTGGTCCGTCTTCAGTCTTATTTTAGTCAATAGATGACTAGTGTCGGATACAAAGATCCATTGTCAAATCCTTTTTGAAAACGTCATGTAGAAGCTGGTCAAAAATCCGACGGAAGTCTTCATCATTATATAAATACAGGTTAACACATAAGTTAAAGTTTATTATTAAAAAAAAAAACAAAAAAAAACACAAGTTACGGAACATATAAGACGATTGATAGGCTGGCCACATTTAACACGGGACAAACCGACACAGGTTACACGGCGGACACAACAGAACTATCCATTGTCCAGTAAGTGACATTGACCTTGGGGGAGGGTATGTCCAAGAATATGTCCACTTCGAGAATAGATCCATTTTCTCCGACAGTAATAAACTCTGCAATTAATAAAATTTTTTACAAAAGATATGTGGACGACATATTCTTGGTTTTTAAAGGCAACTCCAGACAACTGCAGCTTCTGAATAATTACTTTTAAATAACATATCTTCTAATTTGAAGTTTACTTTGGAAGTCAAACTAAACCAATCTTTAAACTTCCTGGATTTAACGCTTACCAAAGACAATGACAACATAAAATTCAAAATACAGGGTGATTGATATAAGTGTGCCAGCCGTTTTATTCGAAAACTATAAGAGATATAAAAAAAAGTTAAATGGTAAGTGCCTTGGATTTTTTATTTAAAAAATTATAGTCAAGTCAAAACAATTATTTTAGCCGCCATTTTTCCAATATGGCCGCCAACTTTGATTTTTCTTAAGGAACACCCTGTATTTTATGATGTATTCTGGTAGAAAAAGTAATTTTAAGACGATTTTATTCTTGTGATTTTTTTCATAAACCTCACCGTTTCAAAGATAATAATGGTTTAAGTTGTGAAATTTTGAATGGTTTTCGAGCAAAACAGCTGGCATGCTTGCTTAGGCCTTTATCGAAACTCTTTCTCATGCAGAAATTTCAAAACTTTAACCATTATTATCTTTAAAACGGTTAGGTTTATGAAAAAAATCACAAGAATAAAATCGTCTTAAAATTACTTTTTCTACCAGAATACATCATAAAATACAGGGTGTTCCGTAAGAAAAATCAAAGTTGGCGGCCATATTGCAAAAATGGCGGCTAAAATAATTTTTTTGCCTTGACTACAATTTTTCAGGGTGTCCACAAAAGATTTGTCATTAATTTCCATGACTTTCCATGACTATCCATGACCATTTACCATTGATTTCCATGACTCACAAACTTTACACACAAATTATAATATAACATACACACAAAAATAATACTGCCTGGACATGTTATTTTGCAGAAAATACTGAAATATGTAATAACAGATAACAATGGAGTACAATAGGTACAACAATGAACTAAAACAAACCGAAAACTCATAAAATAATACAACTGTAATAAATTGAATTGTCGAACATTTGTGAAAAATGCTACAACAGTCCGGGTTACGGCTGACTAGAGCATTGAATGGTCCCCTCAAATCCATCCATAATTGGAAATTTCCATGACTTCTTGCCTATTTCCCTGACTTTCAATGACCAAAAATTTTTTCCATGACTTTCCATGACTATCCCTGACTTTCCAGAATGTGGACACCCTGATTTTTTAAATAAAAAATCCAAGGCACTTACCATTTAACTTTTTTTGATATCTCTTATAGTTTTCGAATAAAACGGCTGGCACACTTATATCAATCACCCTGTATACAGGAAGCCAACTACTACCGATCACACCATTCATGCCTCATCTAATCATCCACAAGCTCACAAAATCGCAGCTTACAACAGTTTCGTTAACAGAATGTTAAGAATCCCAATGTCACCAGAAGACTACAACTCTGAGTACCTCATTCTGAAACATATAGCTGTTAGCAATGGCTACCCCAGCAGTATTATTGATAAGATTATCAACAAACATAAAAACAAAATTAGTAAACCGATTGATAAACCCAGCTACTTTGTATCTGTCGAATTCGGAGCCAACCTACACTATACCTTAAAAACGAATTAAAGAAACATAAAATCACCTTAGCCAGTAAAACATCAAACAAACTAGAACGTCATTTGAGCCAAAGCAGCCGTAAACAAAATGATAACGATTTAGATGACACAGGTGTTTACAAACTTTCGTGTAATGACTGCTCAAAATTATACATAGGCCAATCGGGACGTTCTTTCAACACCAGGTTTAAAGAACATCTCCCTAAACCAAAACTGTCACTACAACGTTCCAAATTTGCAGAACATTTAATAAATACCAAAATCACAGTGTCAATACCGGTAGTTGCCAAAATAATTTACAAATCCTGCACAAATGCAGTAAATGCCCTCTCATGAACGCCTTAGAGAGTCTCGAAATTTACAAAGCTAATAAAAAATCCCCTCATTGTCTTGAATGAAAAACTAAATTTTGGTTCAAATATTTTATTCGACAGAATTGAAAGCATTGACAACAGAGCTAATACAAGTCTTTATCAGCTGACGTATCCCCTCCACCAAGGTCAATGTCACCAACTGGACAATGGATAGTTCTGTTGTGTCCGCCGTGTAACCTGCGTCGGTTTGTCTCGTGTTAAATGTGGCCGGCCTATCAATCGTCTTATATGTTCCGTAACTTGTGTTTTTAAATAATAAACTTTATGTGTTAACCTGTATTTATATAATGATGAAGACTTCCGTCGGATTATTGACCAGCTTCTACATGATGTTTAGAAAAAGGATTTGACAGTGGTCTTTGTACCCGAAACTAGTCATCCATTAACTAAAATAAGACTGAAGACGGACCACGGTACGTAACCTATTATATATATATATATATATAGGCTATATATAATAAGGTCAAATACTTCCTATGCAGATAAGAACGTAGCCACTAAGAGATTTATTGATAAGGATAACCTGCCTTTGCTCATAGACGAATTAAATATCGTGGACTGGAACTGTTTAGGCCTACTAGTCACCTAGGCACTACAGAGCTAGTCACAATGCAACTAGTCATCCATTAACTAAAATAAGACTGAAGACGGACCACGGTACGTAACCTATTATATATATATATATATATATATAGGCTATATATAATAAGGTCAAATACTTCCTATGCAGATAAGAACGTAGCCACTAAGAGATTTATTGATAAGGATAACCTGCCTTTGCTCATAGACGAATTAAATATCGTGGACTGGAACTGTTTAGGCCTACAATAACCTAGTGCACCTGAATGCACTACAGAGCCTAATACTGCATTCAGGTTATTTCTCGACTTGATCCAGGATAAGTTTGATGTAGTGTATCCGCTGAAAATCTATAAACTTGGTAGTAAAAAGACTAAATGTACAGCCATTGACAAATCCTGGTACTCCTCAGACCTTAGGAAATTGCGTTCCTTAGTGATCTTAGTGCACGATCATTACAAACTTGCTGTTGGCCTAAATCAAAAAGTTAAATTCTTTGCTCTATATTCTAAACTAAAGAAAGACTACAGTGCTAAAGTTAAGGAAGCAAAGAAAGTCAGCAATGTAAACAAAATATTGAAGGCGTCCAATACTTGTAAGGCTGCGTGGGATGTCGTAAATGAGCACAGGAGGTCCAGCCCTATCCCTAAGATAACTGCGTCCCCTGATGTTTTTAATGACTATTTTGTCAGGATAGCTGATGATATCATCAACAACTTCTCCTTGTTGCAGCATGAAGATCCGGTTGCTGCAGTCACTGATTATGCCACTAACCACACACTAACAAGTTGGACTGAGGTGAGTGAACGTTACATTATAAGTCTAGTGAAGGGCTTCAAAAACTCTGACAGCCAAGATGTAAATTTGGTATCTCCTGTTCTATACTTAAAGGTATTATACATCTGATATGTACACCGCTAACTAAGCTAGTTAACTTGTGCTTACTAAAAGGGTCCTTTCCAGATGTCCTAAAAGTTGCTAGGACCATTACAATCTTTAAAAAGGGAAATCCCTCAGATCCGTCTAACTACCGCCCCATATCTATCTTGCCGGTGTTCTCTAAGGTACTTGAGACTGTGATGAAGAGGCAGCTAATTAAATATTTTGAAGGTAACAACTTGCTTTCGGATGCCCAGCACGGCTTCCGAAGTGGGCGCTCAACTACTACAGCCCTAATGAATCTGACTGACCTCATCTCAGATGCCTTTGAGTGCAATGACTCAGTCATGCTGAGGTTATGCGATCTGAGTAAGGCGTTCGATGTTGTTTCCCACAACATCCTTTTAGGGAAACTGAAAAAATATGGTATTGGTGGTAGAGTGTTGTGCTCTTTGCAGAATTATTTAGAAAATCGTAGGCAATTTGTATCAGTGAACGGAGTGTCCTCAAATGTCCAGGTTGTTCCCCATGGCGTTCCTCAAGGTTCGGTGTTAGGCCCTCTACTGTTTAGCATCATGATAAACGACCTTTGGCTAAACGGCTGCACCCTCCTCTTTGCAGACGACACCACCCTGGTGACTAGAGGGAAAGACATTAACCTGTTGAGGGATACAGCGGACGAGTTGTTTGTTGAGGCTAAGTCCTGGTTTGTTGCTAATCGCTTCAAAATAAATTAAGAAAAGACTCAATCTTTGATGTGCACCCTCAAGTCGAGGACTGATCATGAGGAAGCTGTGAAGTTGCTTGGGTTTTGGCTGGACTCTAGGCTAAACTGGTCTAGCCACATTGATAAGGTATGCGTTAGGTTATCCAGAGTTCTCTATCTGCTAAGGAAACTCCGAGATGAAATCACTAAGACCTATCTGGTAACCATATACCATGCCTTATTTCATAGCCATTTTATGTACGGAATAGTGCTCTGGGGACACTCCCCTGCATGCCATGAAATACTTCTGCTACAAAAAAAAGCTGTGAGGGTGATAACATCTAAAGGCCCAAGAGAACATTGCCGACCCATCTTCAAAGAGTTGGGAATCCTCACAGTGGTGAGCCAGTACGTACTTAATAGTCTGGTCTTGCTAAAGGAAAACCTAAGTGATTTTGTGACCCGAGGTGATAGGCATGAGTATGGAATAAGAAGGGCCCATGACCTGGATATGCCTCGCTGCCGCTTGAGCCATACCTTAAGGAGATACCCCCGATCGGCTATCAAAATCTACAACTCCCTTCCAAACCACCTAAGGAACCTTGACGGTACAGCGTTTAAGTCCGAGCTGAAGAACTTGCTCACAAATAGGCCCCTGTATAGTCTTGACGAGTTGTCAAATGATCCTTTGATGCCAGGTTGAGAAATAGACACGCTTGCCACAGCCTAAGTTTCAAGTTTTAAGTTTTTAAGTTTTATGATACTTTGTAAAACAAGTTTTGTATATAATAATTTTGTAAATATTAGTATAACGACGCAATTTATCCGATATATCAAAGATTAAGACAACAAGTATTCAAGTATATATATATAATATTAGCCTATTATGAAATGAAACTGTTCTAAACTAACCTAAGCAAAACCAACCACTTGCTGTATCCATAATTTCAAAATTCCGTTTGATAGCCTGTTTCCCCATATGCCTTTTCTGTTATCAAACGGAATTTTTAAACGGTAATCTTAGCCTACGCAGCAAGTTTGGTTAGTTATGTTAAGTTAGTTTAGAATAGTTAAATTTATTTTCTTAATCCAAAATATAGCCTAGCAGGCAATTATTTTTGCCTAAACAAGATTAGTTCTTAATTTGTAATTTAAATGTGTTTGAAGATATTAAAATAGAAGAAATATGGATCGTAAAGGAAATCATAAATATCGATATAGCCTATCGAAAAGAAATCATCGATTATAATGAATGTACCCTTTAACAGGTAAGTACCAGTAATGTAAGTTACGAATGTACTAACCCTCAAGAAAAGAGCATAGCGTTGATGGACTTACATCTCTAATTAATTACTGTAACTTACCATGAAAGCTAGTAACTTATTCATTCATTGATAAAACAAAAATATTACGAAAAATATAATTAAGGATATATTACTAATTAATATACTAGGCCTATTATAGGTTAAACTTAAGAGCTATTAAATATCTTCAGTCGCTAACAAAATAAAACATTTTCTCAACAAGAGCAGACTTCAGACTCAGACAAATACTAAGAAACAAAACAATAGCCTGCATATTAAATCACTTATCAAAAATGATATATTATTCATTTCATTACGATTCACAAAAATAATTGCATTAAGTTAACTTAATTTGTATTGCCTACCTACAACAGCTCATAGCTCAACTTTCTTAGAAAATTGAAGTTAGATACATTTTACCATTGCCATTGACTAAGTTTCCCTTGTCTGTGATTTTACATTGTTATTGTTTGTTTTTGTTTTCTTTCGCTGCTGGTTAGGTTAATTCAGAATTAGAAGTTCTTATTCTTCTTGTTCTATCGCTTGTTTACAACGATTCCTTTTTCTTTTAAGACCGACTGTTTCTTATAGGGGTAGGCTAGCGAGATCCAGAACCATGCAGCACTAGCGTTACAGTAACGAGTAAAATTACTTTTCACCGATATTTGCTAGCCTAACCAATGATTATGAGGCTCAAAAAAGTTTTATCATAGATAAAACGATAAAACGGAGGTATCCCCACACGCCCGCCTTTAACTCCAGGCCGCGGCCTTCGTGAAGTGGCAACGTAACAAGTAGGGTTGTAACAGCTGTTTTGTTTGGAAGCAGGTACCTAATGTATTTGTGTATTTACGGAAGCTTGGTTACTGGACTATGAAAATATTGACTCCGCTTTAAATGTACAGATATAACAATTTTAATTCAAAATGTTTTGGTTTTAATTCTGTATGTTTTATTTTCAATATTTTAAATTTATGCTCATAAATTTAAATCAATAAAGTGCGAATTAATGAGCTGATGTCACCTGTCCACCATGTTATCTTATGGGACGTATGACACTAAACAACCCTACTTGCGACGTTGCCAAGTCTTCTACCAGACGTCACATAAGATAACATGGCAGGCAGGTGACACTAGCTCATTAATTCGCGTATTTTTCATTTAATTTTATGAACATAAATTTATTAAAAGATTGAAAATAAAATATGTAGAATTGAGAAACAAAACAATATTTTAATTAAAAACCTATTTTTGTGCATTTAAAGCGGAGTCATCAATATTTTCATAGACCCGTAACCAAGCTTTCATTCTTAAAACATACATCAAAACGGTTAGCTGCTTCCTTAAATTAAATAGCTGCCTTTCTTTTTACTTGAAAGAAATAGTTATTTTTCTTTTCGGCGCATTTGTAAGGTCTAGGAAAGTTCAAAAATGACAAAACAACAAGTAAGAAAATTATTTTAATTTTTAATGTAAGCGTTTAGGAGTGTAAACGCAAGCAGAAAGCAGATGATGAGGAGCAAGCTGTAGTTAGATAGTCGCTGGTCTGAGTGGTGGGGATGAGCAAAGACAGAGACAGCTGGGTTAATATTTCAAAATTTGATCCAAAAAGGAAACAAAACTTCTAAATATAAAGATACTAGCTGTACCCGCTTTGCCCCGTTTTACCGTGCATGTAGTTGGCACCTTATATGTAGGCCTACAAATCATGTATTTTTCAAGTCAGTGAAAGTTTATATTTCCTTATAATCGATGGCATTTTCCAGATATATTATACATTTTACACAGAGTTTTACATTTAATTTGAAGGACAACTAGGCTCATAATTAAAGAAAATTTTTATATCTTGAACATCTACATTGAAACAACAAAAACCAGAGTACACCATGTTAAATTCTTTAATTAATTATAAACTAGATTTTGAGTATTTGAAACTTTATGAAATCAATAAAAGCATTCTTGAAACAAGCTTTAAAATTGTTTGCTTTTTTCAGATGAACATTTGCCTGGATAGTAAAGTTCCGTTTGATAACATTTTTCCGGTAAGTAAAAAATAAATTTTACCTGAATAAGTAATATATTTTACAAAAATATCATTGTATTATTTAGTAGAAAGTGTTAAAAGTGTGGTTAAGTACAAAGGAGTACAGGCAAAACATAGCTAAAAAGAGAAATAGCTTGCAAACTGCATATCTCAGAGAGAACTGTCCCCTGCTGATCCGTGAGGCTAAGGATCTAGCAAATATCTTAACCCATTGGGGAAGGAATTAATGCGCTGCCTGCAGCACCCTCTGTCGGCAATTAATTTTACCGAATTTGTAGACTTTTACTCTAATTACCATAGAAAGAAAACCTTAGGTAGTAAATTAATAATTCTTTCACCATGTTGTTCTACAGAAAAGTGGTAATTGGATAGTCAAAGTGTAAAACCAAAGATTACATATGCTACGCAAAATTTTGCATAGCATATGTAATCTTTGGTAAAACTAAAAAAACTAAAATTATAAATTTTATAGAATTAAAACTTTTAAAAACAATTTTTTTAAAGTAAACTTGATATACAAATTCCAAGATTAATCCAGACACCAAATAACTTTACTATTATAAAGTTCAATTGATTCCCTACGTAGAAAAATCAAAAGTTGTGTACTTTTATAAGCAACTAGTGTCCCTGTTGCTCGAATTCGAGCAATTGCTAAGTATTACGTTATTTTAAAACGAATAACTGTCATAATTTCTGATGAATTAAAAAAGATTCGACTCAAGGGTTATGGAAATACTCAGGATGTACATAACACATTATATCATTTTATCTAGGCTCTCTCGCTTTTTTCCATTGTAATATTTACGCCAACCCAATTTCAAATAGTAAATATTTCATTTAAACCAAGTCAGTAAATGTTTGTAGCAAACTTATTGACTGTTTACAATTAACATGTGTTCTTCTTCTCACTTTTAATTTCTGTCAACAGCTGGAGTTTCATAACAATTTTTGTTTCCCATGTTAATCTAATGGAGGAATACAAAACTTTAAAGGGTCCCAGGGTCTCACTCTCTAACTATTTCCCTAAAAAGAAAGTTTCCTGCACAACTTCACGTTACGCTCTTTCCAATGACACCAAAAACATGTCAATCGGTTCAGTAGTTTCGGAGGAGTAATTGTCACAAAAAACCTGCTTGCGTATTAAATAAGTAATATAGATAGATAATGTAGACAAAAAATTCTTTGTTTACCTTACCACAGCTGATTTTTGGTGATATCTGGTTTCCATGGTATCACAAAATTGTTTGTCATTCGCTAAAATAAATGAGTATAAATACGCAAATCAAGAAGCAATATATTTATAAACATTATAAAAGTAAGAAGAAACAAAAAGGGAGGAAAATAATAATAATTAAATAACTAGTAGCGCTGCGTAGCAGTGACATGAGCGGCACTCATAAATCGGCCGCCGGGCCTGCAGCGGCCGTACGAGTAACGCTCGTAAGTCGGTGCCAATGGGTTAAAGGCTTCCACAGTCACAGTGTAGGCTGTCCAATCTTCATCTTGACTTGAAGATAGTGGCCGATGTTTCAGATGAATTGCAGCAATCCATCTTTGGGGCAAACTACAATCCAACCATTGCATGGAAGAACAATATTCCAAAGTAAAAGGAAATATGTATGTTTAATCCATGCTAGTATTTCACAAAATACCTAGATCTGTGGAGGATTTCTGCAAAAATGAAAGAAGTCAGATGATTCTCAGCTGAGCAAGAAAAAACTGACTTTTCCTACAGTTACCCATCAATGTACATGTTCCCTCACTGATTTTAGAAAGCAAAGTGGCCAATTCGCTCATCAGTGAGACAATATGTTAACATTGTCTCACTCCAGATTTGCAACATGAAGGCACGAAATAGTGAGCGCGTAACATGCAGACAAGGTCGTATGAGCGCGAAATACGTTGGCAGCACTGGCTGTAAATCAGCTGTGTGTGGTCAGCTGTTGTACTGTTGTATTTGTCACTTCACATTAAATGTCATATTAAAAGTTCACTTCTGTGTAAAAATATGTCACGTTTCTTTACCAATTTATTTGTTTTATGGTAACCGTAGGAAAAATATTATGTGAAACTCGAGTGCAAAGTGCAATTGCCTCACTCGAGAAACCATTCCTCACTCGCCTACGGCTTGTGAGTACCTAAGTATTTCTCTCGAGTGAGTCAATTGCTCCCTTTGCTCACTAGTTACACAAAATAACTATTGTTTTTATCTTTGCTCATTTTGTCATGAATCTATCAGCCATATTCTGATCGAAAGAGAACAGCTCCTCTAGCATTTACTCTATGTCTCCGGGCCTCTGGAATCGACCGAGATATAAAACGACCCTGCAATAAGTAAGTATGGAATCCTTATTCCTTTTTTGTTTAGAGAGAATGACATCACGATTGTTTATTTTATTTTGCAGAACAACACAGATGTGGTAGAACTGGATATCTACAAGAGTGGGGTATACTTGGGATGTCAGTATGGGTTGGTATCCCTGTACATATGGGGGGTGGGGGTATTAGCAGCTGGAGAAGGGGCAACAATGATGGGATGTTACGCTGGACAACTGACCATGGAGGTAAATAATAATTTAAGTTATACTTGGTTGTTTGTTTAGAAAAATCTCTGCTTGGATATCTATATTTATAAGAGGAAGTTGTATATATATAGTATATATATTTGAACATTATGGATTCCCAAACCGCTCGACAGATTGTAATGAAACTTTCAGGCATTATTAATCATTATTCAAGGATGGTTTGTGTGAAGTTTGGTGCAGATCTGTCAAAAGGGCTCCTCCCCAGTGGCTCTGGAGTTTCCCATGTTAACCTTATGAGTACTTATATTTAAATTGAATTATTAAAGAATCTTAACAGCTGGTTCAACTAAACATGTTGATTCTGTGATGTTCAATAGCATTAAAAAGTTAATAGGTTTACCAACAGGGTGCAGCACTATTATTTTTTAAATTTATGACAACAGCTAGTTTGCAACCAAAAGGTGAGTGAGCGTAGCGAACAAACTTCAACCTGGAGGTGAGTTAGCGTAGCGAACGAGCTAACCTGAAGGCAAGTGAGCGCAGCGAACAAGCTCCAACCTAAAGGTGAGTAAGCGTAGCAAACGAGCTTCAACCAGGACATGATTTAGTGATGCGAACGAGCTCCATCTTGAAAATGAACGAGCATTTGACATAAAACCACATTAGGACAGGACGACGTCTGTCGGGCCAGCTAGTATAATATATTCCTTAAAAACATAATAAATATGAAATATACCTGTTCATACTGCTCATATATCACCTGTGAATTTAAAACCAAACTAAGAATTTACATATTATGTGTACAAATATAAGGAAGAGAAATATCTAAAATAAGGAGCATTTATTCACACTGAAATTAATATTGTCTTAATAAATTGCCATACGATCTTCTTAGCTACCTATTCCTTTTGCCCCATTATATTTTTTTCATATTTGAATGTTTTTTTACTTAATTGTTGATAGTAATTAAACATATTGGCCATATAAAATATACCAGGGGTTCTCAAACTTCACCTACTCAAGGACCCACATAGTTTTAATTATGTATGTAACACGGACCCCCTACAATTAACTTAACCCCACCACCCCCTATTAACCACCCCCCGATGACCTCTTAATTTTTATTTTAAATATTGATCATTTCAAAAGATGATTTATTTATAATAGGATAAGGAATAGGTTAAACAAATAAATAACCAACAAACAAACAAACCAAAACTGTTATTTTCAGAAATATGCACTTGTAAGTATACTGCATATCTCCAGAGAGAACTGTCCCCTGCTGATCCGTCAGGCAAACCTATAAGCAAATGTCTTAAAGGCTTCCACAGTCACAGTAGGCTGTCCAATCTTCGTCTTGGCGAATTGTTGAATCTTCGTATGAGTGATTAAAAATAAATTTGATTAAAATGGTTTTTGTGGACCCTCAAAAACTGCTTGCAGACCCCTAGGGGTCCGCGGACCACACTTTGAAAAACTCTGGATACCATAGAAGAGGTGTATAGTCAATGATATTGGCTATCATTAAAGTTATTAGTATGTTGCAAAAACAATATGCATGATTATATGTTGTATGCAAGCCAAGTGATAACAACAATATGACAACAACAATATGTTCGACACATTACTGTGAAATGCTCTATTTTTGTTACATATGTTTATCACCTCCATTTCGTTTTGTCACAAGAGCAAGAAACTCCCTGACTGCTAACCCGGTACCTATAATTAAACATACCCGGGCCCCATGATGTAGGCCGAAGCATACGCACCGACCTTTGGTACACCATGGGAGGATGACTTAAGGTCATCAAGCTCACCGGCTGCCGAAGCACCCCTTCGGAAAGAGGGTTGCCCCTCAATCCTAACCAGGGATACCGGGTACTTGTTTAAGCGTCACTTCACCTAGGTTCCCCCAGGTACGGAACCCAGAAGGACCATAGTGAAATGCCCTGACGCATTTAGTGCAAGCAACACTCGGGACCTATCCAATCCCTGACAGGCAAAACCCGCCATCAAAGCCAGGAAGAAGGGGACCACCAGCAAGCTGATGGGGGAAACCCCAACCACCTATTTACACCACTACCCGATCGAGGCCTTACCCAGTTGCTGGGAAACCAGAGGTGCCCAAGGCGATAGATCCCTGAACACCCCCAGCGGGCTTGAACCCAGCACCCGATCTACTTCGTTTGCCCATCAAGCCCAACATCACTGCCAGGCCATCAGGGTTTCCCAAAAGGAGGCAGGAATAGAAGTGGGTCCCACCCGGATGAACCTATCCACCAAAGGTGGCGAAACCCTTTGCTCAATTGAGGTTCCAGGGAGAACCCCCCACACTCTAGATAACCATACCTTCCGGTCTCAGAGACAGGGATTGGCTGATGGAGTGCGCCCAGCCGTTGCCCTCACACTGCGGAAAGTTACGTTCCCCTAGAGTGTCCCCGTGAACTGACGGGTACTCGCCCGATTTCACCTCCAGGAAGGCTACTTCCAACGTCGAGGATTTGCCACACTGAATGCCGGTCGCACATCAACAAGCGGGCCAGAGCCCAAAGGATCATAGCTACAGGCAGATGATAGATTGGTGGCGCACTTCCACCTCTTGCAGAGCTGAACACCCCCCATAACCTGGATGGGGAAATGTCACTGGGTACTCTCACTTTGGGTAAACCCAAAGAGGCTGGCTTGTCCAGTCGTCCATAACTATGACCTACTTGAAATGCCGATTCCGACACCGAGCAGTTACCTCCCCTTTGGGGGCTAACTTACCCAATTTTTCACCTCCCAGGACGAGGCTACTTCCAGAGCCGAGGATATTCCTCACAAAATGTCAGTCGTACACAACAGGCAGGACGAGCCCGAAGAACTCCAGTCACAACCACAGCTACAGGCAGGTGGGAGACCGAAGTCTCGCAGAGCTGAACACCCCTCCACCCTGAATGGAGGAAATGTCACTGGGTACTCTCACTTTGGGTACCACCCAAAGAGGCTGGCTTGTCCAGTCGTCCATAACTGTGGCCTACCTGAAGTGCCGGTTCAAACACCGGGCAATTACCTCCCCTCTGGAGGGCAAGAGCTAGGGTCCGCGTGGTCGCTAGGCCACGTACCCACGCAAGCGTGAGCCCCATGCGGCAAATTAATTGAATTGAATTAAATTGTAATGTTTATCACCTGTAAAAATTCATCATTACATTGTTTACTACGGAAAAAGAATGTTTACTATACAAAAGCTATGTTTACTATCTTTTTTGGATTTTGCCGACGTAAACAAACAAAGATTTGTTATTGTTTTGTTCACTTTTTCAATTTTCAACAACAAAACTGTACAACCAAAGTAAATATTAACTATAAACTGAAGGCATAACCTAAAAAATGCTTTGAGTTTTGTAATGAAACATCCAATGTATGTTTTAATTAAGAAAATAAATTAGTTTTTGTAGTGTAGCGAAAAGTAACGTTCAAAACACGAATGAAAGTGGGTCTATACATATTCTCGACCATTTAAAGTGCAGGATAAATTTCGCACTTCAAACATATGGTATCAAATAAATATGTAATGACTCACTTTCTACTCTTCTTACGAAATATTACTATTTCTGCATAGCAACTAAAATGCCTGGGGAGCAAGATTTTGTCTGCTAGGCAACCAAAAGGACTTAGGTCTATGTTAGAACGGAGATAACATTTTATTATTAGCTATTATTAATTTCCCAAATTCAGTGAATGAAGTGATTTGACTCTAGTCCTCTAGAAATATTTCACTTTTCTACATATATCTACAAAAATTAATATATCGCTTACAATAGTGTAAATATTTCCCAAAACATAAATATTTAATCTTTAATTATACATTCAAAAAACATTTATGACAGACCAATTTTTTATTCAACGGTAAATTTAAAAATAAAAACGCCAATTAAAAATACACCAAAAGAAAATACCTCCTGGAATGACTTCAATTACAGTGTAGCAATCATACACTATACTCTTACATGAAGTGAATTTCATTGCCAGTTATTGCCTAAACATTTCACCTTTACAATTTCTGCTTTCTGCTTCGCAAACTCCTTCTTGAGGGAGGAGCCACATGTTCACCAGGGAGAGTGTTGAGTCCTCTGTAAGTGTTCGGAACTCGGCCACACAATACATCAGCCAATCGCGGGTCTATGTGATGCACCTCAGCTATTTCCTCACTTGAACTATCTTCATCTTCACAGTCGTCCGTAGATGTTTGTGATTGTAATTCAATTGATTCAGAAGACAGGCAGTTGTTTACACCATCTTTACGCAGGAGATTTGAAACTCTTTGTAATCTAAAAATAAACAAAAGTTTGATAAGTAGATGCACAGACTAACCAACACAATTAGACTTCCCATCCCATTGTAAAATTTGAAGCTCGTTTTTGTGTCTAGTTCATGTTGGTGACACTGGGCGCTATCAACAAAATTTTGTTTCTATTATTTTATTTAAATTGTTTGTGCTTTACTGTTTGGTTGTATAACTAGGGGACGAGTTGTTGTTTATGATTGAGCTTAGATCGTTTTATTTTGTTAATCGAGGTTTGAAATGACTGAAATAACAAGAAACAAATTGTAAACAAAAACACAAACTTAGCAGCACACAGAAGCAACAATAAAATTAGCTTCAGCTGATCCATAAGGATGACAAATCTACTAGGGGAGTTTTTTTTTTTTTATTATTTATAGCACAGGTGATATTTTGAGTAGGTAGGTGTAACCATAGATAAAACATACTCCCTTAGTAGATTTATCATCCTAAAGCCTGTGTCACACTTGGCTACTTACTAGCAGCTACCTAGTAGCAGCTACTGAAATAGCAGCTACTTTTCCTGTCACACTTATTTTGGTAGCGTCTATTCACTAGCTGCTACTACTAGTTTAGCTCAAGAGAGGTTATGTCCCAAAGACACGGATATTTTCTATACAGGTTCAAAAAATTAATCACATCTCCCCCACCCCACTTCGGATCACTCATGATTACTTCAGAAATTATTCAAAATGACCGAGAATAAACAAATCAGGCAGACAGCACGTGGTGCAAGTAGCCGCTAGTCTGCTATTGAGGCTGTCACACTGGGCGACAGTCGCTACTTGATAGCTGCTAGTTGGTCACGTGACTCACTAGCGCAGTTTAGTAGCATGGAAAGTTGGACATGTTCAACTTTCCATGCTAGTAAAATTTCACTAGCGCGCTACTCTAAGTAGCTGCTACTGCCTATGTCACATTGGCTACTTAGTAGCTGCTATTTCGCTAGCTGCTAGTAAAGTAGTGTAGTGTGACACAGGCTTAATGGAACAGCTGAAGACAATTTTATTGTTAGTTCTGTACGGTTCATGTAGAGGTCGTGTTTTGTTTACAATTTGTTTCCCGTTAATACAGTCATTTAAAACCTCGTTTAGCCAAATAATACGATCTAATCATAAACAATAACTTGTCCCCTAGTTATTTAACCAAACAGTAAAGCACAAATCAAGAAATTAACCCTAAAATAATATAAACAAAATTTCGTCGACACTAGCGCCCAGCGTACATGAACTAGACATGAAAAACGAGCTTCAAAATTTACAATGGGATAAGAAGTCTACTTGTGTTGGTTAGTCTATGGTGTAACTTATTTAGGTAAACAAAGTTCAATTTCCAGGAATTGAAAATACAAAAAAAATTTGTAAGTTAGGTATAGAATAATTTTTATTAGTAGATGATTCACATAGGTAAATTATATAATAACTTTCAAAATTTACAATTCTTACAAAAAAAGACTAACAAAATTTAGGAAATCGGATGATTGTTTATGGAAAGGGCTTATGGTAAAAGGTTTTTGTGTTGTATGCAAAATAGAAAGACTTTGATCCAAGTAAAATACTTTTGATAAACATATATAACACATAAGTTAATTATATTAAGTTAATAAATAAGTTAATATAAGTTAATAAATTAATTGCATTAACACACTATCATTTGATATTGATTTATTTTTTAACCTTGCAACTTAGTTAGAAAATCAACTAATTATCTAACAAAATTTTTAAAGTTAAAGATTTTTTTTTTTAATTCTCTTTTCAAAATATACACGGTAAAAAAACCCGCATGGAAGAGCAGTAGGCTTAATAGTTAGCAAGGTTAAAAAAACAAATTCACAAAACTTATTGTAAAAAAATTGCAACAAGAATGTAGGTAGAAGAGTCCAAGATAAGCAATCATGAAACAATGATTTAATTTCATTACAATTGATTTTTATCAGTAAATTACTAACTTATTTTTAAATAAAATTTTATTTTATTTTACTTACAACAAGTCAGACTTTTGAGCAGTCGTCATTACAAATACTGAGCTTATAGACCAAAGTATGAGCATACAAAGAACGTCCATATTCCATTTCAGACCATTTTTGAGCTTTATCTGAAAATTTATAATAAGTATAAAAATTCCCCCTGCCGCAGCAAACCTGCAGACTAAGCGAATTTCGACTTGTCTGATTACATTTTTACTCAAATATTTCCATAAATAAGACATATTTATTCCCTATTTAAATAACATTAGATTTAACAAGTGCTTAGGTTTGCTGCTACGGGGAAGGTAAAAAGTGTTTTTTGACCATACGTGAATAGTATGGGATGAAATAAATAAATTTGCCAAATTTTATCAATATATATCCATAAACAAGTAAACTACAACAATTTTTATTTTCTCCATAATAATAACATGGGAATTTTCAATTAAACTATTTTTGAATTTTCTCCGTGACCGTTAGGCATACAACAGTGCTTCAATATACTAAATTATTTCTTTTTTTAAGCTCTACAAAACGGTTTAGAAAGAAATTGCAAAATTTTTGGTTTTTAGGGTAAAAAATGGGAAAACACATTTTTACCCCATAAAACCCCCCATAAACCCCTGTTCCCATGGTCCGATTATGCTGGATCGCAAACTCGTTTGAATAAACGTAGGTTTACACGTTTGTACCAAATTTCATCAAAATCGGATCATTTTTGCTCGAGTTATCGCGCTAATGGACACATATATATATATAAAAAAATATATATATATAAATTTGAGCAGATGGTGTTTTTGGCCTCTAGGGACCTCAAAATGAAAAAAAAATCGGTCCCGCGTCCAGGTCTTACCATGAGTACTACGGTAATACCTTATTCCCTATATGGGAAATTCGCTAACAAGTAAAAAATTGACATAATAATGTACTTTAAGCATTTTCTAGGATAAAAATTACGTTACATAATTCCCCAGGTATGATTATTATTCAAAACATGAGAGCAGTGGGTTTCTTTTAACTAAGCTGGAGAATTGTTTACCGTAATGTTCCCGGTATCAAGAACAATAATTGATTAAATATTTAGGTTTACCTTATGGTTGCCAGGTTCTGTAAGTGTTGATATGAGGAATGAGGCCCCCTTCATACATTGTCCGCCGACCAATTAAGTAAATAAATAGTACTGTATAATTATTTTTAGTGTTTTAAGTGATGAAAGTTATGCAAATATAAACTTTGCTCCTGATGATGCCATACACGTGACAAAAATTTACATCGAGCTTAGATCAACATACTTCATGAAACTGGCAACCATAAGATAAACCTACATATATTAATTAAGCATTCCATATTTTACAACCTCATATTGATAGGAGTTTTCCAATTTTAAACAGTGTTGAATGTGGTGTATGTACCTGCTTAATGCAGGTTTTCCTAGCTGTGAGGTATACATCGCAACCCGCGGAGTCCGCAGAGCACACAATCCACTTGATATGTAAGAATGTTTTCCTAGGAATAGTACGCACCCCCCCCCCCCAGCGGGGTTCAGACTATGGGACTCGCTGACTCATTCTAGTGGAGTCTATGTTGCAACGGGATAGCGAGTGAAACTTGAAGTCCGCACCCCGCAAAGTCTAGGAAAACACTAGCCTGTCTTTGGCTGCGGTAGGGTAAAAAAATTCATTGACCGCCGCACCCTGCTGCAGCGTATACTCCGCAGCTAGGAAACCCCGCCTTTATGGTGATCCACAGACTGCAGTTAGGTACCTACAAAAATTGTGCCATCTCAAGGATGTACTTAGACGTACTGTAAAGTATTGTAATAGTTCCCTGCTGGAGACTGTCACTTTTAAATATCATGACATAACAATAACAGTAAAAGCAAAATTCCAATTGCTTAAAAAATCTGCTAATTATTTTTTATGTGTTTTTGTCTTGGGTAGCCTATTTTTCGCAAGTGTTGAATTTCACACATATGGATTGAAATAGAAATTGCGGTAGGTACAGTAAGTTGGAATACTACAGGAATGCTAAATGGTTGTCTCTCTTAGTTCATCAACTGAGATTTTTTTTCCTGTAGACTATGTCTTTTATTTACCCCTTTAGAAGAAATCACATAGTGTGATTTCAGGAAAAAAGAGGAAGTCATTATGATCAGTTTTGTTCATTGCATCTGCTAATAAACTATTTTATTTCTAGGCCAAAAAATCTATTCAGATTAACAAACTCTACAACAATTAATCATAAATCAAACTAAACTTTATATTGTAGACGACTAGTCAATCCAACATACACTGGTAGAACATAGGCTAGTATGTTGAAAAGTAACAGTGTATAGCTTATGTATGAAATTGTACTAATCTTTTGTAGACTCCTTGTATCGTTAATATGACCGTTTGTTTAAGATGATGGAAAAGAGGAAAAGAAATTGTGCTGTTGGTTGTATAATGGGAATTTATGTTTAAGCTAAGAGAGTATTCATTGGGTTTGACAATATTCATTACTATAATAGGCTAATTGGGGAAAGTAGTGCACCTTTACTGTTACAAATGCGTACAAATATTAAAGCATTAGGCCTACCTCATGTAATGAAGTTGAGAGGACATCTTAGCATCAGGTACTCTAAAGTTTCCCAAATGAAAGTCATAGCATAAATAAATACCGGAAATACCAAACTTCCAATCAGCTAGAAAAAAAAATTAAATTAAAATAAGAGGGAAATTTAGTTTTTTTGTTGAAATTGGAGCAAAGATAATTTTTGCATATTCAGCAATATGAATTTCTGTCTTAGCACTACGTAATTATATTTTAAATTTCAAAATAATACTACCTTCTTAAGATCTAAACAGTATATTGGACACAAGAGCACCAGAACAAAACTTCCACAACATCTGTAATGAAGTACGACTCAACAAAATAAAATTGGCTAAAAGCTAGGTTCGATAATACGATGGGCACTAAAATATATGCTTTAAAAGCTTATACAATGCAATAAAATATAAAAATTTGCCCAACCCAAAAATAAAAAATTCATAAACAAACAATCTAGCAAGCTATGTATTGTCTGTAAGGATAACATTGGAAGACCACAAAAAAATTGAGCTAAGTACTTTTAATATCTTTTTAACAAATAGACGTTGGATATAGGTTATTATAATCTGACCAATAAGAAATTGTGTTTCATAAATGAACTTCCATAAAAACCCATAGCGATTTAGGCTACTTACAGAGAATATTGTGCAGTTGAAATATTTCTTCAGATGAATCAGATGACTATTGATCTTATAAATGAATAGTACAACACCAAAATAATATAAAAACGTGCTACCCGGATTTGTCTTTTTACAATGTGATACTTCTGACGCAGAACGCAATAAATACTGCAACCCAACATATAAAATAAATTGAAAAACCGTCCAGATTATAGGCATCATTTCAATCGGTTCTGTTTTTGATTTGTTTGTTTGAAAACAATGAACATGTTTATAAGGTTGTGATAAACATATGACTTAATTTCAGTCATGTTTTTTTTTTTTTTTACCAAAACTGTGAGTTATTTGTGGCATTTTAATTTTATATTTTGTGCCTTTTAAGAGTTGAAAATTGACCATCGCCTGTGACAAAATGGAACTGTAGGATAAATTCAATTGTTTACAAAACAAATCCATAAAAAAATTATCATGCTTTATCATATTAATAATCTAATCCTAATTTGTTTTGTTTTACAGGGGTTTCTTCAGTTGAAATGGGTAAGATGGAAGAGAGTGATGTTTACCCGTTCCATTGCAATCCTGCCGACATTCTTCGTAGCGTTCTTCAGCACACTACCTGAACTCAGCGGCCTTAATGACCTACTTAACGCAATGTTCAGTGTTCAAATCCCGTTCGCAGCTCTACCTCTCATAGCTTTTACAAGCAATCCTCGTCTCATGGGCCAATTTGTCAATGGGATGTAAGTAATATATTAATTAAACTAAAACTTGTAGTACATTTTCTAAGAAAGTATCACATTCCATAGTTGGTAGTCTAACATGAGTCATACTCATAAAAGGTCAAATAATTAATGGTTTGCAAAAGGAATTAATTTGAAATGTTTGCAGTATGTTATCTTTCTTTCATCATCAATGTTTTTTCAAACGTTTAAGTCTAATTACTAACACAATTTTTTTATTACCTATAAAATATTACAATCCATTTCAATTTGTTTAAACCTAAATTATTGTTTCCATCAGAGAACCTAAGTTAAACCACTCTAAAACTTTAATTAATATAGGTAGTGTAGTAACATCAAATTTTCTCAAAAATTAGTTAAAAACTTAAAAATATTAACTCATGATGGTTCAATCTTTTTTTAGTTTGGACAAGTGAATGGTTCCAAGAATTAAGACACATTATATCTATCTATATATTAATAGGCAAGCATGTTTCTTTAAAACCTTTTTTCTCAGCTCGTGTGAATCGTAGGGAAAATCTGCGCATACCGTTGGAAAGCTATTTTCCTGTAGGTGTGCAGAATCCCTTTATAAATTTAAATAGGCTCAAAGATAAGCACAAAAAATGAGTTAAAAAATTTGAAAAAATTAACATGGATCTTATGCGTTGCTATGCTGGTTACGAAATAACAACGAAATATAAACAGAAAATCAAAACAAATGGAGGAAACTCCAATCACATGTTTTATTTACAGTGTGGGGTGAAAATAGATAAGTGAGTACATTACATATTTTTGGTCGAGTTTCGACCACTGGACGACCTCTCGTACTGTATTATTATATAACAATCCAACATAAATTTAAACTTTGTACATCAGATAATTAATTGTTTTTCAGGGCAATGAAGACTGTGATGGTGCTTGTTTCGCTTGTTGTGATTGCTGTAAACGTAGTATTTGTTGCTTCATCAGTATTTTCCGCAGCCCTCGGAAACTGGTGGTTTTTGTCCTCGGTCGGTCTGTACACCGTATTGTACGTAACTATGTGCGGTTACCTCATACTGCACATGTTTTCCAATATGCCTGCCTCTCAGAATAAGTTTACAAAAGTCATAGTCAAAGACAATTGGACAAATGATGCAATGGACCATTGGGTACATAATTAAAATAAGTGCCAACTTTGACCAAAAAATCATACAGTATTTTGTTAAGCAGCTTATATTTTCCGTGACAATGGTTAATTTTCTCGTACTGGAAAATTAACGACTACACCACTGCATATGATATCACTCATGCTGTTCATGAGTGATATTGTAAATAAGTTTGTATATTGATCACCATTTACTATAGTGTGTTTTATTTAATTTTTTACTTTAATATACCTTCTGATCTGTTTCAGTAATGTAATGAACCAGGTGAGATGAGAATTATTATTTGTTTGTATCCTCTATTATTTTAAACTAGTGCATCTGTTGCTCGAATTCGAGCGATTGCAAAATATTAAAGGTGTTTTTTTTAAACGAATAACAGTATCAACTTGGTTGTTATTATTTAAATTTAACACTAAAAGACTGTAAGAAGACAACTGACTGAAATATTACTAGACATAAGAAAACATCGATATTGCTTTTAGCTGATCTATAATGATCATAAACATTTAAACTTTTGAACTTTCCATCCAAACTGTTTTGAATAAGCCAATAATTTCTCATACATTTTAATACCACCAGATTTTAATGATTAAACGGATAAGGTTTATAAGTGAACAGTTTTTTTTTACAAATATATGTATTAAAACCATAAGAATAAAATGTAAATTTATTTAGTATTATTTTAAAAACTACAACTACAGTATTATTTTAATATGAATAATAGTGCATAGATTTATTAAAGCATGTAAATTAATAAATTTTGCTGCTAATTTTGTACTTTATTTTGATACTCTTTTTTTTGAAAAATGTACCTTTATTCTATACAATAAACCGTGTAAAAAAGTACAAAACCTGTGGTTTAATTTCTTTTTTTATCAGTCAACAAGTTGTACAGTGAAAACTCTCAAATATTGCACCAATTTTGAATCAACCCAAAACTTAGATTAAAAATATTAAATTGCAATGAATTCAATGATTTTGAGAACAAACCCACCGTATGAGTTTTCTTTTACAGTTGTGTTCAGTGGCGGATCCAGAGGGGCAGCGAAGGGGGCGATCATCCCCCCCCCCCTGGGCATACATATACATATTTTTTTTACTGCATGTAATACGGTAGTGCATACACATTGCGTAAAATAATTTGTCACACTAACTTTGGACAAAGAAATGGTATAAAACTGCCATTTTGGAGACTTAGTTTACACAAATCTTTAAGGGGGGTACCCCCGTACCCCCCAGACTCCCTCTGGTTTGCCCCCTCCCCCTTGTGACTGTTCTAGATCCGTCACTGGTTGTGTTCTCAAAATCAAAAAAAGATTTCCTTTTTTAACATTTATTTCTAATTAATTATTTCTATCAACCAAGCATTTGTATTGGTTTACCAACAAAAGACAAGATGTAAAGTGAAACACTAAAAAAATTATATCCTTTCTTACTTAGTTAACATTTACTGTTAATATTAGTCTGATCTAATTACAAAATTAGTTTTCTTTGTAAAAACATCCCCTCAAAATCTTCAAATTAATAGTTTATTGCTATAAGTCTGGCAGTAAGTTACAACAATCATATGGTACACAACATAAACATTCCCAAATCATCCAACACCATAGAATTTTTTAACCTCTAAACTTTTTTGGAAATAATTAAATTTTTACTACAACCAATTTTTATACAGGGCACAGCATAAATTGCAAGCTAAACATGATGACCACAAGACATTAAGTAATTTGTGGTTCCTGGGAAAAGGTAGTGACATAAGACATGATTGCATGTATCTAGTGTTAATTATGGTTAACCATAGTTGTAGACAACACAGTGGGAGAATATTTCAAGGTTATGTGCAGAGTTTGTATCATTGCTTGCTTGTGTAAAGTACAGTCTGAGTCAAGCAGGGCTGTGTTGGAGGAAAGTTAACTAAAATGAAAGGTAAAAAGTATGTCTATACAATATTATTTTCTTACTCTCTACAGACCATTATCGGGGCAGCTCTTATTTTATAAAGTATAATTAATTGTGCTATTTTTATTGTTAGTTATATACCAACTCCATTGAATAATAGTAAAAGTTAAATGTAGATTTAATTAGTTTGTTTACATGAGTTGAATAAATTATAGCAACAATTATGTACGGTTGATGTTCTGTTTAGTACGATTTCAAGTAGGGACAAAATAATTCTTAGAAACTTAAAATTATATCAAATTGTTATATTTAGGACGATTTAACTAATTTATTATTATGTTTGATAACTATATGGTATCATAGACTAACCAACACAAGTAGACTTCTCATCCCATTGTAAATTTTGAAGCACGTTTTTCGTGTCTAGTTCATGCACGTGACACAAAGGGGCTAGTGTCGATGAAACTTTGTTTCAATTATTTTAGGGTTAATTTCTTGATTTCTGCTTTACTGTTTGGTTATATAACTAGGGGACAAGTTATTGTTTATGATTAGATCGTATTATTTGGTTAAACGAGGTTTTAAATGGCTGTAATAACGGGAAACAAATTGTAAACAAAACACGACCTCTACATAAACCGTACATGAACTAACAATAAAATTGTCTTCAGCTGTTCCATAAGGATGAGAAATCTACTTGGGGGAGTATGTTTTATCTATGATGGTATACATGGTTGCAGTCAATCGACCCACCTAATCAGTAATCAATAACTACTGATTTTTTTCATTATTAACAATACTGTAGGCCTAATTATAATCTTATTTTATGAGCGTCATTACACCATTAGTATTTAATATTTTTTTACTATCTAAAGCTGACTTTTAGCACAGTAAAAGGCTGTTAAATGAATTAAAAAAACCTTACATAATAATCTGTGAAAGATAATTCAATTCATTCATGTTGAGCTGTCATTAATCTATTGTACTTTTCACAAACAAGCCCACTTTATAACACATTTTATATACTCTTCATACAAACTCGATAATACTCGAAACATGGATCCTTTGAAGGATCGAAAATGTGAAAATCTAATTTTACTTCCATTTTGGTATTTGACGATTAGGCTATCTAGTCTACATTCTGAAATGTAATACACATTGAGATAACCATTCAAGAATTATTTGTTGACAGAATTTCAACTTATCGATTTAAAAGCAGCTTTTATTTTATAGTTTGACAGCATCACACTCAACTCACTCAGGCAATCTACATTGCACACAACTCATCACATTCAAGTATTCTACAACAATACGTATAAGGCAACAATACTTATATCCAAACATTCTACAAGATTACACAAAACTTAATGCATTTCCAGCTCCAGATTGCTTGCAGTGAGATATCAACTTGATAGATTTGCTGATAAGCTTAAGTTGTGAACTGCAATCTGAATGGCTTCTTCCCCAAAGATAAACGATTGATAAGACATTATCTGAGAATGATGAGGACCTTACGAATGTGATCTGGAGTTGGTACTCAGGATTGGAGTGGGTCTACGTGAGGAGGGTCAAGTAACTTGTGTCGGTAAGTCAACATGTCAAACGAACAAGATGAATATGACTGCGACAATGATACTCCAAAGATTCAGATACCCGAGACTGAAAATGTAAGTATGACTTAGTTTTGACTATGTATAAACAGTCTAGAATGGACAACCACACACAGATGTAGGGTTCTTGCAGCTAAAAGTATTATTTTTAGTTTGGAAAAGGTTAAGGTATATTTTATATTTCAATAAATTTTTACTATTTTATGAATTTGGTTAGTACACATTTTTAACCACGGTATCTAGTTTTATAAGAGGATAGCTTAATATTGGTTCTATGTTTTAAAGCTACTAAGATAGGTAAGGGAAATTTAAATTTTTTTTATAAAGAAATTTTGATTTGGAACACATTTTTATGACTGAAAAATTCAAATTAATTTGAATGAATTAGCTTTGAATGTACCTATCTGTTAATGTCTTTACCATCTTTTAATCAGCTGAGATCTGATCAGCTGGGTGTTACACTTTGTTTACTTCAATTATTGGCTTGTAAACATTCAAATTATCAAGAAGTATGTATCTTTATATGATTTTATTTTATGGGTTCTGTTCTCAAATGCGGCTGTAATCTGGCCTGAATACGGTCGTCAGTTTCCTAATATCCATACGAGTTTCTATGAGCACTAAACATCGTTCTGTTGGGAACGTGATACAAGATGTGTGTGTGTGTGTTTAAGAAGCTGTGTCTGATGTGTTGGGGTGGTTTTAGGACGATCCACGGACAAGAACAAGGACAGTTTCTCGTGACCTAGGTATTTCTCAGCTATTGAGAAAGGAAAATTGCATTCCTACCATTTCACACGAGTACGGGTTGGAAAATTTTTGTTTGGCAATTTTTGTTCCTTTTAGTCTGTAGAATAACTGGTAAAAATTAACGCACTTAGTAGAAACTCACCCTGTAGAACTGAGGGTTTTGGGTTAGCTTGTTAAAGTTATTAATAAGAAAATATTTCTGAATAAAAATTAATAATTTAATTATAAAAAATACTTAAATACTTATCTTACTATCCAAAGATGAACACGTCTTTGAATAGTAAGATAGGCATTTAAGTTTTATTTTTATTTATTAAAATTAAACATTAAAAATTAAACAATTTTGTGTTATTAAGTCAAAAGGTATTAAATAAATCCATTCATAATTGTAATTTGTTTTATTTATTGTAATGAATCCCAATTTTATTGATGCAGTCAAAGACATTTTTAAAATCCATTTCCGTTAAATTTTTCATATTTGATAAACACAACAGAGGATTTTTAACATTCAATAATAATAAGTTAACAAAATGAACAAATTGAAAAAAAATATTTTGATTGCTTCATTCATATTTGAATGAGATAATTCATATTAGTTTTTATGGCCACATAGAGTTCATCAGCTATCTGAAATCAGTCAAAATAGTTGAATAACCACTGTGAGGCCAAGCTATAGGTCACCATTGATAGTGTCATTTCACCAAACATGTTGTCTCGATCATCATGCTTAAGAAAACTAAAAGATTTCAACAACAATCTGATTATAATCAGTGAGTACTTTATAACACTAAGATTTAAGTAGTTATAAGAAAGCATAAAATTGCTGACTAATTTGATAGGGAATGTTGAAAATAGATTTAAAAAAATACCAACCAGAAGATTCAAAGGAAAAGTGTTAATAGAAGTTTTATTTAACGTATGGAAGCAAGCTTAGAAAACCTAAGTTTGAGATGATGATTTATGAAGGAAATCTTTACTAATAAATTATATCTTGACTTTATTGTGTAGTTATAAAAACCTACAATGATATGTATGTTTCAAAAGTTATTGATAAAAATACATAAAATATATTGTCAGATTCGAGTGTGACTTGTCTTGGACCAGTGAAAATAAGTCTTATAGCAATGTTCTAATAGAACGTTCTTTGCAAAATAAAAATCTATTGTAATAGTTTCTTCAGAGATTTATTAGTAATTAATCCGAGTTTATTTAAATTGTATCAAAGAATTGATTTTTAAAAATCATCAAAGTGTGATTGAGAAAATAATTTTTTTTTTGTGAACAGCCCAACATTTACCATATATTTTGATACCTATGAACCTTTAAAAAAAAAAAAAAATAATAAATCCTTTGTTTAAAGCTATGAATTATAGACTCGCCAGTTTGTCATACCTAAAGTGTTATTGAGTTATTTAAATACGAACAGGAAACTGAGATATGGAGCAGTGCTGCGAAGAAAATTCATATTTTACTCTGTAGTATATTGTACGGTACTATAGTGTAAATTTTCTAGATCCAGAACTACAGATTTAGAATTAGTAGTTTGACTTGTGTTTAGAAAATTTACTTGTACATGAAAATTTGCCTGCAAATAAAGAAAAAAAATAGAGTGTATTTAAATCGGTAATAATTAATAAATTAGACCGTATCCACAGACAAGTAAAAAAAGTTTAGTTCAAGTAGACTTTTTTTTCAATTTGTAAATCTGAAGTCGGTTTGTATTTGTGCTTCAATTTGGTGATATTCAAGGATGGAAATGTTTACCAAATGTTTTCTCCTATTTTAGAATTAATTTTACACAATTACGAGTTTTAAAAGTTAATTTTGATGTTTATTTGTTTTCACGTCCAGTGCCTTTGGATGACTGAAATCTGTCATCGCATGCTGATTGGTTCCTGGAATCTGGAACTCAATTTCAGCTGTCTCTAGTAGACATTTCTGAATTTCGATATGACTAATCAAAGTCATTTTAAACTTAATTGAGGTATAATTAATAATATACATAGTCTCTGTGAAATCTTGAAAAGTAGGGCACTCTTGACATTGTGGATTGCTAAATTCTTCCACTGTCACACAGAGTTTGTAAAAGCGAGTCGAACGCTCGTACTGCCCAGTGAATGCTGGAATCTCGTAATGAACACGTTCCACGCAAATCACAATTACTGTTGTCTCATGGTGGTCTTCGGACCTATCCATGACTGAAGAGACTAAAATAAAGTCGAAACAACAGAGCACACTTCTAATCCTGAAAGATGGATTAGTCGTATTGGACATAGCGCAGGCTCAATCAAATTTCGAATCTACAAACCACACACGAACATGGATCGTACACACCCGAGACGGTACGTGTGACAATCTCAATGCTCGGAGAGGTTGAGATTTTGGTTTTGTAATTTGAAAGAACATTCAAAAGAATGTAATCCGTCCTCAACACATTATAATTCAATCTGTCGTGCACTAAAGTGTGCACCTGATGAGGTATGGGCTGTTTAGCCCTGAGACCGAAACAGATGATATCGTTATGCGTATAATCGCACCTTTTACGTTGCAAGAGTGATTCCGCCACTAGGGCGTCTTTTCGCACGTATAACCCCAAGAACGAGTTTCGTGACCAATACATCTAACCTGCAAAATTAATTTAGAATTTAGAAGGTTGCGAAGCCAAACACTTGCACCTAATGTTACAAGTCACTCAAAATTATTAATTGGTTAAAGTGATTGTGACAGGTGATGTAGTTGCAAATCCAGCGGAGCTGGTCAGTCTTCTCAATCAGACTGCAATTTTAGAATCACTGATATCATCAAACAGTAGCACGTTTAGGCTCTTCTACACAATTCGTGTGGGCGGCATCTGCCTGTCCGGCGATCGTGAGGGTTCCCACAGCATATAGCTTTCGTGGTTGATAGCTGCAATTAAGATCAGCATCTGCCCTACGTCTAAAACCCGGTTACGCGTTATTGTGAGGGGATAAGACAAGCGCTTCATTACAGGTTAATCTTTTTGAAGGTAAATGGGACGAATCCCTTGCCAATTTTCAATTACATTCTTTTGAATGTTCTTTCAAATTACAAAACCAAAATCTCAACCTCTCCGAGCATTGAGATTGTCACACGTACCGTCTCGGGTGTGTACGATCCATGTTCGTGTGTGGTTTGTAGATTCGAAATTTGATTGAGCCTGCGCTATGTCCAATACGACTAATCCATCTTTCAGGATTAGAAGTGTGCTCTGTTGTTTCGACTTTATTTTAGTCTCTTCAGTCATGGATAGGTCCGAAGACCACCATGAGACAACAGTAATTGTGATTTGCGTGGAACGTGTTCATTACGAGATTCCAGCATTCACTGGGCAGTACGAGCGTTCGACTCGCTTTTACAAACTCTGTGTGACAGTGGAAGAATTTAGCAATCCACAATGTCAAGAGTGCCCTACTTTTCAAGATTTCACAGAGACTATGTATATTATTAATTATACCTCAATTAAGTTTAAAATGACTTTGATTAGTCATATCGAAATTCAGAAATGTCTACTAGAGACAGCTGAAATTGAGTTCCAGATTCCAGGAACCAATCAGCATGCGATGACAGATTTCAGTCATCCAAAGGCACTGGACGTGAAAACAAATAAACATCAAAATTGATGAGTCCGTCCACAATAATTTAAGAACAATGAGTTTTAAAAGTTAGTTTCACAAAGAAATGATACAGTAGAATAGATGTGAAATTAATATAAATGTTTACATACAAATATTAGAACAGCTTTGACTTGGATCACTATTAAACATAACGGAATTCACTCAAACGCTGTCAATCTCTTTGCAGGCTCTGTAAAGAGATACAACTCCGGTGAGTCACGCCCCACTCCTCTCTACGACCTGCATGTTACCAACAAGGGACGAATGGTCAGCTTTGCTGGGTTTCTGCTGCCAGTGCAGTACGGGAACGACGGCATCGCTACATCCCATCGTCACACAAGGGATCACTGCTCGCTCTTCGATGTATCACACATGCTACAAACAGAAGTCCACGGGAACGACCGAGTCAAGTTCTTTGAGAGTCTTTGTACAACGGACATTGAAGGTAACAAGAGTGATTAGTGCCCAACTTTCTTCAATTTTTATTTGCCAGATTTCAGCTATGGACATAATTTCTCTCACCCAGACAGTTAAATGAGTACCTACAGTGTACAGGTGACTATAAACATGAATAACAACACTCTGATTTAACAAAACGGTGTTGTAAGTATGACTGTTTTGTAAGAGCCCAATAATGCAGTCAATTTTTTACCACATCTAATTATACTTTTCTTTATAGGCTTGGCCGACAATTCTGGAGCATTAAGCTTATTTACTAGTAACTCTGGTGGAATTTATGATGATCTGATAGTGAACAAAACATCAGACGGGTATCTCTACATAGTCTCCAACGCGAGCCGAAGACAGAATGACCAATCATTAATGCTGAAAGCACAGGTTGTAGTTTTGTTATGATAGCCGTACAGTAGTGTGTAAAAGTTCCCATGGTTTATTTTCAGACATATTTAGCATGGTATGGATGAAAAACTTGTTATGAATCTTGTCGCTTCACTCCTCTGCCAGTTAAAAATGAAAACTGAACTGAGCTATATATACACTATCCACTTTTGAAATTGACTGAATGTATAGACTTTTCATTTTCAAAAACACACACTAAAATTAACACATGAAATTAAATTTGCATGGATGATGTTTTAAAACGTCTGGGTATTTCATTCCACAGGAGTTACCATTAAGTTTTTCACTGTGTACAAAAATGTGTACCAAAATTGTTCTTTAAATTACTCTATTTGTTTACAAACGTAATGGCAGGTTAGTAGCACAACTGAGCTTTAGTTTCACAGACTGTGTGGTGCCAGAGGCATTTTTCAATTCATAATCTTTCACCATGAAAAAATCGAAATCCCATAGTTTATAAAACAACTGTGGTAGAATGAAAGGAATATGGAACCTTAAAAAATCTTCCCAAGAGAATACTCCAATACTTTGTAAAATGAATCACTTAAACTCTCCTAACAGAAACATTTGCAAAGCTAGGAGCGTTTTCAAGCAGAAAACAAAGATGTGAATGTAAAGTTCTTGGAGCCTGAAGATCGAGCGCTGATTGCACTCCAGGGACCTCAGTCGAGCGCAGTGCTACAACCACTGGTCAATGTGGAACTATCACAGGTAAAAAGTTCAAGTACCGGTACCGGTAAAGTAAAAGGCTAAACCATGTTTTATAAAATATTAATCAATACTATACCTTGTAGATTTATGGTTTTTCTTTTTATGTGTGTGGTGAAAGTATAGTTATTTTATATAAATCGGTTGTTTACAAAATATTACAACTCAAATTTTACACAAAATATTGTGTAATCTACTCATGCTGAAAGCTATACTTGATACAGTACTAAATCAGCCAAGCCCCAAAATTTTACCAAATTGTTTTTTAAATTATATTTTTATTCGTCTATAAACTTAGAAAAAAGCACTAACACTCTAGTGCTGTATACCAATTAGAAAAAAATATTGCGTAAAGATAAAGAGAATGTTTTTATCACGATTCCAGTGCATCTCAAATAAATAAACATGGATATAACATGTTATAAACATGTAGTTAACATGTTAAATAAACATGTGCGTTCTTATAAACATGGCCATTTTGTTTAGGTGTATTTCATGAACACTTGGCGAGCCACCGTGGCCGGTGTGGCAGGTTGTCGAATCACTCGTTGTGGCTACACTGGGGAAGATGGGTTTGAGATCTCCATCCCAGCCAGAGCGGCAACAGCTGTAGTAGAGGATATACTGGCTTCTAATGTTGCCCCAGTGAAACTAGCAGGCTTAGGTGCCAGGGATACTCTAAGGTTAGTACAGGTCACTCACTAAGTTGTGAATCACTAACTTGTAATAAAACAAAACATTAACAGTGGTGTAGTGCCAGTGGTGCGGGAACGCGTGGGAACGGCAATCCCAAAGCACCTGCTTTTTCCAAAGAACCTATGACAAAAATGTTGACACTTGGACTCGGTAACTGAAATAATAGTGTTGTGACTGTTATATTAGTGGAGCTCCACACTCCTGCAATCTGTCGGTGGCTCACATCAACTATGAAAAATTTGATTTAAAAAACTGGCGACAACTTTAACATGGGCATGGAATGTCTAGTTTTATCAATAGTCAAAGATTAAACTCTGATGAACAATAAAACATATTTTTTTAGTTACTTGAATACAGTAGTAGCAGAAATAATTAAATCTCTAACATTATACATAACCATAGATAAGTTAATTAAATCAAGTCTAGGTAAAAAAAAATAATTTACTGAAATTACATAACGGTGTTCAGCTTTTTACAATAACTGGCGTCATTGATAACTTTAAATACTATTTTCAGGCTAGAGGCTGGTCTATGTCTATATGGGAATGATATTGACGAAACAACTACACCAGTATCCGCTGGTCTTACTTTCACCATAGGTAAATATGTGGCACAAAAGCATCTAGTAGTCTATTATGTAGTTTCTTACTAACTTAATTAGTTTCTTACATACATAAAAGATATTTTAAAATAAACGTTATCGATAAACTTAGTACAAAAAAAGGGTGTTCTCTGAAACATCCTTCTCCATATAACTTATTTTAATGATTGGGTGGTCTTTTAAAGCTATGGTCCAGCAGAGAGACAAATGGTAACTAAAAAAAGACTTGTCCCCTTAAATTTTGGTTTATTTCGAGAGGTCGCTTTCCAACTAGCTTATGGTTTTTTTTATTTTATTTTTTTTAAATTGTAACCTGATTGAGAGATAAAAAAGGTGATGATAATGGAGAGAATTATCAATCACTAAGGCCCCGTCCTAGCTACCATTGTATCAAAATATTTCAAACTCGTGGATAAGCGTGAGAGCCTCCTAGTTGGGCGACCGACGATGCAAATTGGTAATATTTGTAGTCTTCAATGTTTACATCCTGAACGTCTTGTCCTGTTCAATGTTGTGACGATGTAGTCAAATGTATTCCCTGACATCCTAGTGTGGTTTTTATAAAGTTCAGGATACAATCTTAACATTGCATGTAAAAGATGAAACCCACCAAGTTTATACCTGTCCTTAAAAATCTCATTTGCAGCATTCCTGACATCTAAGCTGGTTCTTGGCCGATCGCTACTAGTACCTATTTCAAAAGCATTATGTCCCGTCATGCGGGTTGCATCAACTGTCCTCGCAACCCATATGAAGGCGCTCAAGTACATGAAACACGGGGAGTCAACCCCGTGAGGCAGCGGAAATGTGTGCAGTCCGGTCTGTTTCCGACCTCCACCCTCCTCCCACCTACACTGCCCTCACTAGGCCAAGTGCCAGCTTAGATGTCACAAACTGTAAGCATAGATTAAAGAAGAACTGTCCCGCAGCACAAGCTTACATCTTTTCTCAACCGATAAAATGGGTAACAATGGTTGATTGGAGAGGAACTGTTAGACGACACTCAATTCCGTCATCAGACTAGACTCGCTCACACATACGACCGACCGATTTTTGGTCACTCAGCTAGGACATCACCTAAAAGTGTATATGTTTGTATGTTTTCTTAGTGCTTTTGTTAACTTAGTATAATTTTATTTTACTCCTGACAAAACCCAAGCAAATCTCATTGAACCATATTTCTTTTCTAGGAAAGAGGCGAAGACAGACAAAGGATTTTCCAGGTGCAGAAATTATCCTGTCTGAGCTCAAGGACAAGCCACAGTACAAGCGGGTTGGACTGAAGAGTGAAGGAAGAGGACCTCCTGCTAGACAAGGTGCCCCTATCACCTGCGAGGGGGAAGGCGTAGGCAAGGTGACCTCTGGCGCCCCTTCCCCTTCACTGGGGTACAACATCGCCCTCGGCTACGTACACAGCTCTGTCTCACAACCAGGGACTAGACTGGGCATCACGGTGAGGGATAACACTGTCCCTGTCACTGTCAGCAAACTGCCGTTCGTACCTGCCAAGTATTATATAAAGAAGAAGGAATAAATGTTATTGGAAACAATTTTAAGTTTTTCCCCTTTAATTTTTTTCATTGAGGAAATTTTTTTTGGCCCTTTTAAAGTTTTAGTACGGTAAGGGAACCGGCCAAACCCTGGTCTCCTAGTCTTGTTACATAATCTTATACGGTAATCTTGTCTTAGACATCTCATCAATTGATAAAGTGGGGAGAAGTAGTAATATTGTACAAATAGCAGTATTGAGCTGAACAGATACTAATAAACAGATGGATACATATAAAATACCCAATATATCCACGGTAAAAAAGCAATAAATATAAAACTTTGGTGGGATACCAACCATAAACTGATAAGAGACAACTTGCAGTATTGAAACTGTCGGATAAAGAAAGTAACAAACACAACAGAACAAATTACTACCAGTAACTATTAACTAAAATGAAACAGAGACACATGGAACCAGATTGGTTATAGATAAAATGATCAATATACCATAAAGCTGTAGTGTATTCTTTTTGTCTTTTTTTTACTGATAATGTACCTTTGGTCGTGGTTGTTTGTGTATATCAAATGAAATACGACCAAATAAGTAAAAGAAAAGTAGTTTAATAAGAGAGTTAAATTTTGTGTACAATCCTGAGAAAAACAAAAACCAGACTAAATCAAATCATAATTCGTTGCTATGACAACGTCATCAGCTGACGCTACACCAGCCCCCCACGGAGAAAAGGAATCTATACATCATTTTGAAAAGTAACCCGTGGTCAGATTTTGTCTTCCAGAACGAGTTGTATAAGACTTTGTAGATGGAGTTTGACAAGATGGTGGTATTTTTGAGGTTTCCTCTGCTTGTCCAGTCGGCACCAAACGTTTCGTGGGCTCAGGAATAGGATTTTCATCTGCAATAATATAGGCTGGCTTGACCCTGTCCAAAGATACCTTAGTTTCTTGGCCTCTTACAATGATGGTAATTGTCTTTACGTCACGGCATATGACCTTGTAAGGACCAGAATATGGAGCCTGTAAAGATTTTCTTAATCTGTCTTGTCGGAGGAATACAAAGTCACAAGTGCTTAGGTTCTTGAACACAAACGATGATGCGGGTGTAGGTCTTAGTCGATTCATATGCTTACACAGCCCTGATACCAATCCTTGTGGCTCGTTGCTCTCGTGAGAAGGTACTATGAAAAACTCTCCCGGAAGACGCAGTGGTTCTCCGTACACCAGTTCAGCCGACGAAGCAGTGATGTCCTCCTTGAAAGCAGATCTTATTCCAAGAAGGACAAAGGGCAGTACTTCGGTCCAGTCTGATTTGCTGTGAGCCATTATAGCAGCTTTCAACTGGCGGTGGAGTCTTTCAATCATACCGTTGGCTTGTGGATGCCAGCTGGTAGTGAACTGGAGCTTTATGCCCAACTGTCGTGCTAGGTCTTTAAACAAAGTCGATGTGAACTGGGATCCGCGATCACATGTCAACTTTTGTGGGCATCCAAAACGAGCTATCCAAGTTAGAGACAAACGCTCGAGTAACAGATTCGGCAGTTATTTGATCAATAGGACAAATTTCAGGCCAATGAGTAAATCTATCTATGACAGTACCTAGAAGATTTTGATAAGGGAAGTGGGCCAATTAGGTCAATGTGTACATGAGAAAAACGTTCTGTAGGTGTATGAAAATCACCAAGAGGGGTAGAAACATGTCTAGTTATCTTAGATCTTTAGCATGAGAGGCAAGATTGAGTCCATTTGTGGCAATCCTTACGAATGGAAGGCCAGACAAAACGATCGCAGATAAGTTTTGTTGTGGCACGTATTCCAGGATGACTCAGCTTGTGGAACTGGTCGAAAACTCTACGTCGCAGTTCTGATGGCACAAAGGGTCTAGGAGTTCCTGTTGAGGTGTCACAGATAAGGCTCAATTGGGTTCCAGGAATTGGAACTTTCTCCAATCTAAGAGATGTAGTACTTTCTGAAATGAGATTTTGAAGTTCTTCGTCTGACTCTTGCGACTTGGCTAAGGATTCATGATCTAAAACATTTGAAATGGCTTCAACACGTGACAAAGCATCAGCAACTATATTTTGTGAGCCACTGATGTGCTTTATGTCTGTCGAAAACTCAGAGATAAATGAAAGTTGGTGTAACTGGGCTGGAGGCAACTTGTAATGGCGCTGTTGAAAGGCATAAATAAGTGGTTTATGATCTGTGAATATAGTAAAAGAAGTTGTTTCCAAGAGATGACGGAAATGCTGCACAGCTTCATAAAAAGCGAGGAGTTCTCTGTAGTATGCAGGCCAGACGCACTCTTTGGATGATAGTTTCTTGGAGAAAAAACCTAGAGGTTGCCAAGAGTCATCGACAAACTGTTGGAGGCAAGCACCTATACTTACTCCAGAGGCGTCTGTAAAGAGACCAAGAGGAGCATCAGGTTTAGGATGAAACAATAGTGTTGCTGATGATAAGCTAGCCTTGCATGCTTGGAAAGCTTCTTCTATCTCTGGAGTCCAGGGCACAGGGAGGGAACCTTTTGAATCAGCGTCACTAAGTAGGGAGTGCAGAGGTGCTTGAAATTCAGCGGCCTTAGGCAGAAATCTACGATAAAAGTTCATAATTCCCAAGAATCTGCGAAGACCATACACATTGTCTGAGGTAACTGGTAGTCTTGTAGAGCAGTGACTCTCTCCTGAGGTGGACGTGTCCCAGCAGATGAGACTAAATAACCTAGAAATTTAACTTCTGGTACACCAATTACACATTTAGATGGATTTACAACTACTCCATAGTCAGAAAGTCGTTCAAACAACATTCTTAGGTGTTCTTTATGTATTTCTTCAGACTGGGAAAATACTAAAATGTCGTCAATATATGCATAACAAAAGTCAAGGCCAGGAATAACTTCATCTATGAATCTTTGAAATGTTTGACCCGCGTTGCGCAAGCCAAAAGTCATGAATGGAAATTCAAACAACCCAAATGGAGTGGTGATTGCTGTTTTTTGGATGTCATCTTCGTGGACGGGTATTGGTGGTAAGCCTTGGTCAAATCAATGGCAGAGAAATGTGTACAGCCTGCTAAATTGAACGAGAAATCCTGAATATGTGGTACAGGATATCTGTCAGGAACAGTACGAGCATTTAAAGCGCGGTAATCACCGCAAGGACGCCATCCATTTTCCCCTTTAGGCACCATGTGCAAACGAGAGGACCAGGGGCTTTCAGAGGGTCGAGCAATACCAAGCTTAACCATCTCCTCAAATTCTTTCCGGGCAGCTTTCAATTTTTGAGGATGTAAGCGACGTGGTCGACAGTGAACAGGAGGACCAGGTGTAACATTTATATGATGAACTGTTTTATGTTTCACAGCACGAGGTAAGCCTGGAGGACGAATAATATCAGGGAATTCAGAAAAAACTTCTGCCAATGGCGAGGAGAAAGATATAACTTTAATACTATAATACAGGGTGGCGCAGATGGATCGGGTGGGTTTAAAATACTTGTAAAACTGTCAATTTTAAAGGTATTGGATTGAAATAAAGTGCAAAACGTGTAGTTACAATGGAAGTTTATTGACAAAAAAATTGTTAAGTTAGTTTTTAAAATTAAATCCATCAAATCGGTCCTTGAGGTTCCGCATTGCTCGCTCAAGCACATCACCAGGAATTGATGTGATTTCGTTGTGAATTGCAGCCTTCAACTCCTGAAGCAAGGGTCTACATGAACAAAACCCGGTCCATTCAGGAGTTGAAGGCTGCAATTCACAACTAAATCACATCAATTCCTGGTGATGTGCTTGAGCGAGCAATGCGGAACCTCAAGGACCGACTCCAAGAACGCGTCGCTCGAGAAGGAAGGCATTTGATGGATTTAATTTTTAAAAACTAACTTTACAATTTTTTTGTCAATAAACTTCCATTGTAACTACACGTTTTGCACTTTATTTCAATCCAATACCTTTAAAATTGACAGTTTTACAAGTATTTTAAAACCACCCGATCCATCTGCGCCACCCTGTACTAGTTAATATAATACTAGTTATAATACTATATAGATATAGATATAATAGATACTATTACTACTATTGAATTACTACTATAGATATAATACTAGTTTGATTGTTGTTAGAAACTATTCCCTCGGCATTCAATCCCGTTGTCTTGTCAACCAAACATTTCATCTTGCAATCAGGTAATAAGTGATACAGTAGTGTGAAAGGAAGTCTGAACCTAATATAGGTATTGAAACATCCGCTACCACTAGACTCCAAGGGAAATTACGTCTAAGGCCTAAATTAAGGGTGAGAGGCATGGTACCATAAGTCTTTATTTCACTGTTATTGGCAGCACTTAGTGAATAGCTAGTAGGAAAACGTTTATATTTGATAAGGCGTTTAGGATAACACGACACATCAGACCCGGTGTCGATAAGGAACCTAGTTCGTGAATTTCTGTCCATCACAAAGAGACGGCCGCCAGCATTTGAATTGTTTCTGAGGTTTCCCTGAAAAGAGCATGGAGAAAGACATTTGGTAGCATTGTTTTTGAATTTTCTATGGTACCAGCACCAGTTCTTAGAGGGATTAGGCTCGTTTCCTGATCTACCACGAGACTGGGAATGACCCCTAGGTCTCACCTGTGTATCTCGTACTCTGGTTTCTGATAATGCTTGGACTTGTTTAGAGAGGGATTCTATTGCATTTAATAAAGAAGCGTTACCTGAAGAGACTTCACAAATACCAGGTGTTGAAGGAATATCAGCCACCTCCATGATCTTATCAGCCAGTTATGCCAGTTTGTCCAAGGAGAGCTCAAGTTGCGTAGTCAATATGGCTTATGAATGAGGAGGGAGTCGTCTGAGCCACAGTTGACGAAGCAAGTTGTCTTGAAGGGGAGTCGAGCCCACAAGAGACCTAAGATGCCTCAAAAACTGGGAAGGCTTGCGGTCTCCAAGGTCCTCTTCACTCAGCAGCCGCCGCACACGTTGCTCTTCGGATGCAGAGAGGCGTTCAATCAGTTTCTTTTTTAGATGTCCGTATTTGTCTC